AATCTTTGGAAATCAAATAATTTCAATTTGAATCTATACCAATAGCTTATCTGAGGGATATCTGTGGACCTGGCACTTTTTTTTGGTTTAAAATTAAGAATATTTTTAAATAAGGACTGCAAGCCAATAATTTGAATGTCGGTGGTACGCTTCACATCAACTTGTTAAATCCACAATTTACCTCAAATCTTGATTTGTTATATATTTTTGAAGCTTTGAAAAAAATAAAATTTAATTTAAATACCTTTGCCCGCTGCACTGAAAATATTGCAAGCCTTAAATATTTCCATATGCAAGATGGGGGCTAGATATTTTATCTACCCAAAATTGGCATCTATCGATTAACCTGAGATAAATGCAATTCTTGGGGCCAAAGTTATTTACGCTTTGGTGACAGATCTACCTAAAATATTTTTGATTTTAAATATTTTGTATACTCTTCTGTGAAGTAAAAAGATAAATTCAATTCATCCAGTTCAAATTCAAAATGCAGCCTTGATTGGAATGCAGCCTTATAGCAATTTTAAAGTATTCAAGACTTCTGAAAACTTGGCAAATCCAATATAAATAAATATATATATAATGTCAATTTCACAACTGCGTCGTGGCGAGTGTTGCATTTCAGAAATTAGTACTATATGGAAAAATACTCGGGCAAGAGCGCGCCATCATCGGTGGGCACTTGTCTTGAATAAATAATAAAATATTTCCGCATGAGTGTGTGTCAACGTTGCGATCTTTACACATATTGTACATGGGCTTAATGAGTATTAGTCTTAAGCCAATATAAACATGTATCTGTATATGTAGATGTAGATGGCAAGAACATTTGATATTATAAGCAGTTGGGCGCATCGTAAAATTGTTTTCCTACACTGGCCGCCCACGAGAAATGTAATAAAGCAGACGCCCAGAAATCGCGAAAACTACGCAAATCCTCATGTGCCGGAATGTGGCAGATACTTTTAGCACTTCAATTTACCCAAGCACATTGAGCATTTAGCGAGCATACAAAATTTAATGTGTATATATTTTAATTAGCCAAATAACCAGACGAGACGCATCAATATCAAATCGCAGGCGCGCACAAAATTGAGTTACATAATCTTACGTTGACAGACTGTTCGATTTACATATGTATATAGCTATATAGCTGTGGCACGCGTTGACCCTGCCAGTTCCCAAGCAACAACAATTCAGCAATTGCCGAAATGTTGGCACCAGATTTATTTATACGCACGCTGTAAATTAGCAAGAAAAAAATATGCGAAAGAAAACAATTGAAAATGCACCAGCAAGAGGAAAAATCAGCAAACACGGCGAACGCTGTGAATTTTATTTCAATTTAATGAAATTGAGGCCAAGTTTTCAGCACCAACAAAATTCGCGCACGCATTTTAGCATTTGAGTTCGTAAATTTGCCGCTAATTGCCAAAAAGAAAACGCCAAAAACAACAACAATCAGCCAGGCTGCGATCGGAAATTTCATAGTTTGGTTGTTTTTCTTTGTTTGTTAATTGAACTAAAAGCCTAAAAACCATGCAGCGCATGCAGCCATATAAAAACCATTAAGCCAAAACATTTCCGTATCTCTAATTGCGGCCGCTCACATAATTGCAGATCAGGGCACGCAAACGGATAGCCTGCTCATAACCGAGGATGTGGATGAGGGGCAGCCGCATCATCAGCAGCCGCAGACGCAGCAGCAGTCAGCCAGCCAGCAGGAAGCGCTTAAAACGCCACTACGCAAATCTGCATCCTTTTCATCCTCAACCCCAGCCTCGCAATCGCCGGGCAGCTCATCTCTGGGCTCTGCCACGTCGACCATGTCGCTGCGCTCCACGACACCGCAGCGAATTGGGGGCTCAACGCGTACGCTGCGCAGCGATACCATCAACACATTCCAGAAGTGGGAGACAACAGTTGAGTCCATCAGCTATGTGAGCACCAAAACTGTTTCCATATCCGACTTTAGCCAGGAGCCACAGCTGCAGCAAGGCCAACAGGCGCAAGCAGGTAAAACAGCTAATTGGGTTAAGATCGGTTTTAATTGGATTTTCGCTCGCTTTGTTTACTAAACAATTCGTAATTCATAAGCTAATGCATCGAACGAAAGAAAAAAACAAAAAAGAAAAACACATTCATTTAAAACAATTTTCACCAGCGATCTGGAAAATTGCTACCTACAAAATGGGCTATGGACGCGCACACAAACAATCACTTGCGCGCGTGTGTGTGTGTGTGCATATTTCGAATATCTTTTAAGGCACCGCATGTAAAATCACTAAATATAGATTACAACCACACGCACCGCATCGCAGCACATTGCAACTTTCATTTATACCAAGAGAGAGGGAGAGAGAGAGAGAGCTAGAGGGGGAGAGACGTCCAGCTTCAACTTCGCCCTGCCCTCTCTTTCTCCATCTCTCTCTGTCACTATCTATCAGCAAACGACTGTTGTATCTAATTGTATAGACAATTGATATGAAAAACGACCACATTTGGACATTTTATACTTAAATTGCCGCTTGGCATGCAGCTTGAGGCGCAGCTCGTTGCAACCAGCAACAACAGCAACAACAATATGTCGTTTCGGTTTTCTGGGTTTGCTGAATGGTTGCGTCGCTCGCGAAATATGATGCTAATACTTATGCTGACTGGCAAACCGAATTAAAACGCGTCGCCAGCTGCTACACACTCACACACACACACACACATACACACTTGCAGCATTTGTGTGGCAATAAGATACAAAAGTATCTGCATGTTGACTTGCGCTTAGCTTGGGGTCGCTCATTTGCCTGGTTGGGGGTGCATGTTGCATTGCATTCATATCATTTCATTTCGTTTCGTTTATTTTGGGTCTGCATGTACCAAGCCAAAAATAAAACAGAAAATAACTATCCTGCATGCCGCATCATTCAACATGTGTTTGTCTCATAAAATGTTGATCCTAATTGATATGCGACTATTCTTCTTGTTCTTGTTTGCAGTAAATTGAATGCAGTGCCCCACCCAAACAATAAAATATAAAAACTGTGTTGAATTCAATGAGCTGGGGCCCCAACACCCAACACAATACAATTAACTAAGAGCCACTAAAACCCCAACAACAATATCAGCAACAACAACAAAAGCAACTAAAACTAAATCTAAGCAATTGCCTTCATTATTTTCTTATTATTACTAAAAAGCAAAAAGAAGTACTATTAATAATACTAATTAAAGTAAAAGATTTATTTGAAGACTTTCAGCTGTCTTGTTTTGTGTGCCAAACAACATTCTACAGTCATGACATAATTGGGCGAATATTTTTGCAAATCTTGTGCGATAAGATAGTCAGAGGGGGCAGCCAGATAGGCTGACAGCAGCGGCGGCAAACTACAAGATACATTTTGTAGCGCATCGCTGCAATCTGTTGCCGCCTGCTGCTGTTGCGGCGTCTGTCTTGCAGAACCGGCTAACTGTTTGTTATTTTCATGTTGTTGTTCTGCCAGATACTCAGAAGTAGGCTCTGGATATGCTGCGTGCTTTTGCTTATCTCTCTGGCAGCTACGTTTATAGCCACAGATATATTTGTATCTGAACAGTGACAGTTTCCAACTGGCAGCTGCGCCTGCTGGTTTTTATTTTTTCTTTCTTCTTCATCTTAAAGCGTAACTAGTGATTTCATAACTGTGTCCGAAAAATTGCCAAGCATGTTAACAATTATTTTGTGCAGTATAAATAAATTATGTACTTACAATAGCATTGCCAACCGGGTCGCCTTATAGAGCCCCACTCAATGCGCATCCCATATAAGGTCAAAGCGAACGCAACTCAATCGCATTCGAGTTGCAATTTGTAAAGACTGAAAATGCTTTACGCTTTGCCACAAACCTAAAGAAATAGAAAGTTTTTTTTCTTTCTTTTTTAAATTTCAATATATAGAAAAAACCAGCATCTCGGTCTCTATGATTAAGACACGAAATGAATAATCAAGTTTATATGTAGCAAAGCAGCAGCGAGCCAAATTTTATGTATGTGGTTTTAAATTTAGACAAAATCAGAATAAATTGTGTGGAAAATTTGAAAAGAAGGTGCAAGGTGAAGAAAAAAGAGCATTTCAAAAGCTAAATTAAAATTATAATTAAAAACATTTGCATATGTAGAATGTGCAGAATATTAAACTATAGCTGGCATATCACAGAAAATGTACCTTAGTTAGTCACTGGAATCAGAAGATAGGTTGTTCGAAGAGCTGAGTGCACTTTTATTGTCCATTTTTACAGTATCTAGAATTTCGATAGATTTTCTTTTTTGATTTTGTTCTGCACAAAATGTTGAAAAATACGTGTCAAAAATAAATCGTATTATATTTTTAGCCAACTTACTCAAAAGCCGAACACTTGCCGAAACCGAAACGATCGGTTGTTGGAGAAAAACTGAGAGGAAACCCAATGATTTTCCCAACTCAAACTGCTGTGTGCCCATGCCCAGCTCTCAACTAGTTGAGCATCGGACAAAACTCAGCAATTTGACTTTGGTTATGGGCGCAGAGCAGCGCAGGCTAAAATAGAGATCGATGAGATTGAAAGTAATTCAAAGTCGATGCGATGAGCTGCTACATCGGAAAGCAGCTTCAGGAAAATTTATAGTTTATTTGGTTCAGTGGTTCTTCGACATGTTTCTGTTATCTTCTAAGCCTTAAATTAATTGCAGAGCTAAGAGTCCAGCTAATGACATTTTTGCCACTAAGTCGAACCAGCAGAGCCTGTTTCGAAGATTAAGACAAATTACCAGCCGCTGCCCCGTTTCGAATGCCAGCTGTTTGGCTGCCTGTTCAAAGGCCCCTTGCCAAGTTGTGTAGCGCATTGGCGCTCTCTCAGCGTTTTCCACAACTACAATACGCGTGGAAAGTGCAAAAATATCTCATGTGGAGCGAGAGCAGTCGCACACGAAGATCGTGTGGCTCTCGTGTCGGGCGCCTTGTGCAGCTATTTGATCGCGTTCTCAAAGATATTTTGTCATTCTTCGCTCGCACCTCACAAACGATCGACGTCTTGGTTTCAGTCTCGGGGATTATGACTTGAAACAGTTGGAAAATAGATATTATTTAAAGAAATACATATATATATATATATATATATACGGTATCTATACACACATATATATATATATATATTTGTTCAGCCATATAGTTCGCATAGAGTTTTTTATAAAAGAGTCGCAGCATACATATAGAACGTCGCAAGGATAACGCATTGAAGTAAGAATCGTCGATTTTTTACTACGATTTCAAGTGTTAAATCTGTGAAAATATAAAAAATGTTGATGAAATTTTTTGGTTTCGTAACCACTTTGAAAATTCCGAAAGAATTTTTCAGTGCGCTAAATATCTAAAAATAATCAACGAGCGGTGCTTCGGTCGCGTTCGACGGGTGATTCGGCACACCGCTCGGGATCAGATCGTGGGGTCCGCACCCAATTCAACGAATGGACTGTGAATTCGTGCATACACACAAAGAGTGATGTGCATATAGATATGAATATGCGATCCAATTTAAAGATATCCAATATACACATGTATATTTAAATATATCCATCTTGTTATGCATGACAAATGTGCTTAAGTGCATTATCCTGGCTTATCCTGCCCAGGATTACAGGCTACGATAGCTGTGATAATGTACAGAACTGTGAAAAATAACGCTCTTGATAAAATAAATAGAAGCGAGCACTGCAGAGTTTTCGCATTGGAAATACCAAAAGAAAATGTTATAAATAGCCCCTGAAAAATAAGAAGATACCACCGACATAGTGTATAGAAGACGTCTCTGTATCCGCTGCATGAGTGTGTTTGTGTGTCGCAGTGAAATATTCGAATGGCTAAAAATAGTCCGAAATGCCTCAGAGGCACAGAATATGAATATGAAGAAGGATGAATTGTGTGCTGGTGATGATAATGATGAAGAAATCTTTTTTGATATATGTATTTATATATATCTAAATCTATATGCAGCTCGGTCAAAAACAAAGAAAAAATAAAATCGAAGAAAATTCGAGTGTGTGTCAGCTAGATTAAAAGAAATGTGTGTATGTGTTGAGTAAACTCAGAAGAAAATCGAAGAAAAGAAAAGGAAAATATCAAAAATAAAATTCAACGTTTGCCAAACGGCTATTTTCGTGTGATAAATGTTTAGTGGCTTGTTTTGTGAAGAAAGTATATAAAATTTTAATGAGATTTTTCTTTTCTATCTTGCCTTGTATTCAATTTCAGCAAAAGAAGCGAAAGTATCTGTAAAGAAATATATTTCAATATATACATAAATATATAAAGTGAAGAAGCAAATCAAAAGAGAGAAAAGTGATCGAGAGGTGTTTTATTTTTAGTGCAGTTGACAACTGCATCGATTTGGTTGTCATTTTCAATGATATATAGTGATATATAACGACTTAAAATGCAACGACAAAATCCGAACCCATACCAGCAGCAGCAGCAGCAGCAGGAGCAGCACCAACAACAACAGGTGCAGCAGCAATACTCCACCCAGGAGTATTCGCACTCCAGCCAAGAGCAGCATCAGCAGCAAAGGATTAGCCGCACTGAACAACATGTTCAGAGGAGTCAAATCACCACTCAGCAACGAGGTCAGTCCGTCTGCCTGTCTGTGCCTGTCTGTGCCTGTCTGTGCCCGTCTGCCATGCCATGCCATGCCATGCCATGATATGCCATTGCATGTCCAATCATCGCTGTGGCTTGTCTCGCTTACGGATTTCAGCAAGCTGCATTGGCCAGTGGGATTCACACCGTGGATTTAGAATCTCCGCTGTTCCAAGCTCTTGTTACTGAAATTCCATTCCGATGCGCAGACAAACGCTTTTTATCATGAAAATTTCATTGTAACCTTGCATGGATTTATTCAATACTTGATTTGCTCGTTGATGATAGAGATTTGCTTGACATTGAATTTCATTTTATGATATTTTTTTTTAATATAATTTTAAGGCATTAACTAATTTGACGCGCTTACACCATATTTTAAGCTTTGAAATGTTTGAAATATATGTTTATCTTACATATTAGTATTAAATATATACATAGTTGGATCAAATATGATATATACAGAATTTACAAGTAGCATTTATACCTATCCAAAAAAATGAAATGAGAAATTACTATTCACTAGTCTTTGAGTTTGAGAAATTTTGATTAAAATTCCAATCAATGTACTAAGTTCGTTGTACTTCTCGAGACAAAAATTGTAATCAAAATTGTTCGCATATTGCAAATATTTAATTTTTTCGATAATTGTTCTAAATTTCAATTTCTCAATAATTATCAAGATATTTCTTGCTTATGCATGAAATACACTAAATAATATGCAGTTGGTAATAAGTAAACACTTTCGGAATAACAGAGCATAAATATTTACAAAATGCGAGCATGCATAGCTTCTGAATATGATTGAAAATATCAGTAACTAGAAAAGGTATCAGGTTAACAAATTGCTCTCCTGTGATATCACCAAGCGTTGCCGTAGCGTATTGGTAAAAAAATTGCATTATTATTCCCTTTCAAATAACGACTTTATTTATCATCAATAAGCTCAAATTTAATTCACCAAAGAATTAAATATTAAATTTATAAATGACCAAGAATGATTTCCAGTGCTTGCTTTATTCATCTAAAATCATAATCTCTGGTCATTTTCAATGTATGTATGACTCACCATATGAATATGTAGCCAGCTATAGGTTCAAGCAGAGAATTATTCATTTTCATCTTATATTTCAATACTTATATCTTAATTGATGATCAGCCAAAAATTTGATCTATTTATAAATATTTCCATTCATCTGCCAAAATTCTAAGCGTACGCTGCATTGACATACATATACATAATTAAATAAATATATTTAAATAAGAATAGTTAGTATAAGAGTTCTTATACGATTCACTTTGTTTACATTTTGTGGACGCTGCCTGAGTCATGGGATGGAGTGAATAAGATATATAACACTTAAGAACTCTTATACTACCAGACGAAGATAGCCGAAGTACATATGCCGAGCTTTTTGAGTCTGCGCACAAGGCAAAGAGAGTAGCCAGAGAGCAAGAGAAATTAAGAGGCGCGATAGAAGAGAGCATTGAAATAGAGAGAGAGAGAGAGAGAGAGAGAGAGAGAGAGAGAGAGAGAGAGAGAGAGAAAAAGAGAGAGAGAAAGAGAAAAAGAGGGAGAGTGCATATTAACAGCTGATCTTCTTTGTTTACATTCACAGGATCGAATTGGAAACAAACTAATGTATATATTAATGACACACTTTCGAAAAGTATCCATAACCGCCAAGGTATACACAATGATGTATATATATATATATAATTTAATTTAGACTTTGTGTGCGTGCCAACTTCTAAATATATGTATTCCAAACTAGAAATAGACAACCTCGACAATGAGCTAACATTTTCAAGTTTTTGTTTACATTTGTATTCATATATCAAACAGAGCAAAAAAATGGGAAAAACTTTTTGAGAGTCAATGTTGTTATATATTAAGTTGTACCTAGTTGTAAATATTTAATTGCATTAATTGCGTATAAAGCTTTTGCTGAAGCATGTCCTTTTTTACTCATAACTAACATTAACTAATTATATAATGGTCGCTGTTTTAAAGTATTATTTTCGTGGAGCTCTTACATTTTTTATTTTTATTACATTACAATAGCAAACATCCATTCCAGCAAGCTTCATTGCAATTCTTAGTTGCTTTTAACTATATTCAATAACCTCTTTAATATTACAGTACAACAACATCAAGGCGGTATCGGAGGCACCTATGTACCGCCCTCGTTGACACACGTTTATGCGCAAGGTGACATCTCACCGCCTGTATTTGAGCAAATCTTCAAGAACGCTCGCTTCGCTCAGGGCGGCAACGCCCTGTTTGAAGGTAGGCTGCGTGGCAACCCGAAGCCATTCGTTACATGGACCCGAAAAGGCGCACCACTTCTCGAGTCGCAAAAGTTTCGTATGAGCTACAACGAAGCCACGGGTGATGTGTCCCTACTGATCAACCAGATAGGGCCCGGAGACGAAGGCGAGTATACGTGTACGGCTCGTAATCAGTACGGCGAAGCCATCTGCAGTGTCTATATTCAACCGGAAGGCGCACCAATGCCTGCACTGCAGCCCATCCAGAATCTGGAGAAGAACATCTACTCCAATGGCTATTCGTATACGTCCATTGAGGAGGAATTCCGTGTGGATACGTTTGAGTATAGACTTTTGCGTGAGGTCTCCTTCAGGGAGGCTATTACGCGTCGCTCTAGCTATGAGCAAGACACTCAGCTGTCCCATGAGCTGGATCGCTCCCTGGGCCCTGCGCAAGCACCACAAATATCGCAGAAGCCCAGAAGCTCGAAGCTCATCGAGGGCTCTGATGCTGTCTTCACAGCCCGCGTGGGCTCCAACCCGAAACCACGTCTTACCTGGTTCCACAACGGACAACGTCTGGTAGCCTCGCAAAAATATGAGATCTCTTATTCGAGTGGCGTTGCCACTCTGCGTGTGAAGAACGCCAATGCCAAGGATGGCGGCCATTATACCCTCTTGGCCGAGAATTTGCAAGGCTGCGTCGTCTCCTCAGCTGTGCTGGCCGTCGAGCCGGCAGCTGAGACTGCCTACGAACCCAAGCCCGTGGATCAGATGGCTGAGCAGCTGGAAGCTGGCAAGGCTTTGCCGCCCACATTTGTCAAGGCTTTCAACGATCGGGAGGTTACCGAGGGACGCATGACGCGTTTTGATTGCCGTGTTACTGGCAATCCCTATCCCGAGGTCTTCTGGTTTATCAATGGCCGTCAAGTGCGCGATGATACTTCGCACAAGATCCTGGTCAACGAGTCCGGCAGCCATTCGCTGATGATCACAAATGTGAGCCGCTTGGATGGCGGCGCTGTGCAATGCTTGGCCCGCAACAAGGCCGGTGAGGTTGCCATCGAGGCACAACTGCATGTGCTGGAGAAAGAGCAAGTTGTCGCACCACAATTTGTTCAACGCTTCAGCACGATGACTGTGCGCGAGGGTGAGCCCATCAGCATGAGCGCCAATGCCATTGGCACACCAGTGCCGCGCATCACCTGGCAAAAGGATGGTGTACAAATTTCATCAACTGCTGAACGCTTTGTGGGTATCGATGGCGGCGCCACTTGCCTGGAGATACCACAAGTTAAGGCAACCGATGCTGGCTGGTATCAGTGTACCGCACAAAATATTGCCGGTTCCACAGCGAACCGGGCAAGACTCTATGTCGAAGTTCCCAGAGAGCAACCAAGTCAAGAACAAAGGCGTCTTAATCTTCCAAGACCAACGAAAGTTATCGAGCCTGAGTAAGTCCTGCACGCCTATTAAACATATATCCAATTCATTACATTTTTTTTTTCTTCTTAGGCCAATCCCTGGTCCTGAAATCATTTATTTGCGCCATGTGGAACGCGCCAAGCCCCATCTGCGACCTGGCGAGGAGGATCGCGTTTATCCTCCACCACAGTTCATTATACCCCTGCAGAATGTGCAGCAAACCGAAGGTGGTCGAGTCCACATGGAGGCGCGCATTGAACCCGTCGGCGATCCAAGCATGGTCGTCGAATGGTTCCTCAATGGTCGCCCGCTGGCAGCCAGTAAGTAGCTGGGATACATAATGCATATACTTTTGCTTAATCTCTGTTATGCTTCCGCAGGTGCCCGCGCCACATCTGTCTTCAAGTTTGGCTTCATTGCTCTGGATCTATTGAGCATAATGGGTCACGATTCTGGAGAATACATGTGTCGCGTCAGCAATGCCAGCGGTGTGGCAGAGTCGCGCGCCATTTTATCGGTGGTCCAGCGACCGTCCATTGAGCAATCGTCGCAGAATCCGAACAGCTTGCAGTACATCAACCAGCTGGAAGATTACTCGCGCTATCAGCGCCAGGAGAGCTCAGAGGAGTTGATGAATCAAGCTCCACAATTTATACGTCCACTGCGCGATCTGGGTGAATTCGAGGAGGGCAAGAATGTGCACTTTGAGGCGCAAGTGACCCCAGTTAATGATCCCAGCATGCGTGTGGAATGGTACAAGGATGGCTTACCAATTACCGCTAGTTCGCGCATCACGGCCATATTTAACTTCGGCTATGTCTCCCTAAACATATTGCACCTACGCGCCGAAGATGCCGGTAACTACACCGTGCGCGCCGTGAATCGCATTGGTGAAGCCATCAGCCAGTCCACCATACGCGTGCACACGCGCTCCCAGGTCACCGCTGATCTGGGCATACCCGAACAGCAGCGTTACATTGAAAAAGTTGAGGAATTGGAGGACTACCGCAAGTCCCAGCAGCGTCGCCATGTCCAGGAGGCCCCGGAGGCCATTGCGCCGCCCCAATTCAAAACACCCATCCAGAATCAGCTGGATTTGCGTGAGCACGCGCATGCGCATTTCGAGGCACGTCTCGAACCCATTAGCGATTCAACCATGCGCGTGGAATGGCTTAAGGATGGACAACCTCTTGAGGCTAGCTCGCGCATAACCACCTATCATAACTTTGGCTACGTCGCGTTGACCATCAAGCAGATAACCATATACGATGCTGGCACCTACACTTGCCGCGCCTACAATGCCATGGGGCAGGATACAACCACGGCCCAGTGTACGGTCATATCGAAGAACGAGATTGTCTCGGATACGCAACATCCGGGAGGTTTGCAAAAAATCCAGCACTTGGAGGACTCTTCACGCTATGGTCGTCGTGAGGAGGAGGAAACGTACATAACACAGGCACCGCGTTTCCTGGGCCCACTCAAGGGCACCACCAAGATCCTGGAGGGTCAACGCGCTCACTTTGAGGCACGCGTGGAGCCACAAAGTGATCTTGGCATGCGCATCGAATGGTATCATAATGGGCGCGCTATTACCGCAGCCAATCGTATACAAACATACTACGACTTCGGCTATGTTGCCCTGGATATTTCACAGGTGCGCGCCGAGGATGCGGGCATATACACTGTGGTAGCTAGAAACAAGCTAGGTGAAGCTCAATTGCAAGCAACGATGGTAGTGGAAAGTAAGTAGTGGATCCTTTCAATCCTTTGAGATAATTAAATCTAACTGTTTCTCTTGCAGCTCGTTCCAACATCGACACATCTAGCATGCACCGCGGCCTCTATGAAAAAACGCAGAACCTGGAGAACAAACCTTTCGTGGAGCCACAGTATGATATTGAGGAAATCTCAAAGTCGAAGCCCGTCTTTGTGCAGCCTCTTACTGATCCCAAGCCCATACACGATGGCAAAAATATTCATCTGGAGTGCCGTCTTGAGCCCATGGGAGATCCTACAATGCGCGTTGAATGGTTCCATAACGGACGCCCAGTCACCGTCGGCTCAAGGTTCCGCACCTACTACGATTTTGGTTTCGTCGCCTTGGACATCATCCAGGCTACGGCAGCGGACTCTGGCGAGTATACTGTGCGCGCCACCAATCATCTGGGCTCAGCCCACACCTCCGCTTGTGTGCGTGTAATTGATCGCACCGATGTGGTGACTGAAACCCAAAATGAGCAATCGCTGGAGCAGATTCAGTTGCTTGAAGACTCGCGTCGGCGTCACCACCAGGAAGAAGATATAACCATCATGCAGGCGCCGCAGTTTACACGTGCACTTCATAACATCGAAACCGTCGAAGGCACCAATGTGCATCTGGAATGCCGCCTGCAGCCCGTGGGCGATCCTAGCATGCGCATCGAATGGCTTGTTAATGGCAAGCCAGTAAAGACGGGCCATCGTTTCCGTCCCGCTTACGAGTTTGACTATGTTGCGCTGGACTTGCTCGGCTGCTATGCAATTGATTCGGGCGTCTACACGTGCCAAGCACGTAATCAATTGGGCGAGGCTGTCACCTCTTCCTCCGTTCGCATCATCGCCAAAAAAGATTTGATTCTGGAAACCCAGAATGAATCTGGCCTACAGAAGATCCAATATCTGGAGGATTCCTCACGGTATCGTCGTAATGAGTTTGTGGATGAGGTGGTCAAAATTCGTCCACGCTTTCTTACCCATCCAAAGAGCCTGACCAACACCCGCGAGGGTGCCCACGCGCACTTCGAGTGCAAAATAGAGCCAGTCACTGATCCCAATCTGAAGGTGGAGTGGTTCAAGAATGGCCGTCCTATTACTGTAGGTCATCGTTTCCGTCCCATACATGATTTCGGCTACGTGGCCTTGGATATTGTTGGCCTGATTGCAGAGGACTCTGGTGTTTACACTTGCCGCGCTGTTAATCAGATTGGCTCTGATGAAACTCAGGTGGAGCTGCAATGCCGCAGCGGCGAGCAAATTGTCACCGTTACCCAGAATGAGGCTGGCTTGGAACAAATTCATTATCTAGAGGATCGTTCGCGATATAGCCGCCGCGAGGAGATCGACGAGAGTACCAAGCAGGCGCCAGTCTTCACCACCTCGTTGAAAAACATTGAGATCAAGGAAAATCAGCGTGCCCACTTCGAATGCCGTTTGATTCCGGTTTCGGATCCCTCGATGCGTGTAGAATGGTACCACAACAACTTGCCCTTAAAATCTGGCTCCCGTTTCACAGAGACTAACAACTTTGGCTTCGTTGCCTTAGACATTATGTCCACCCTGCCAGAGGATGCGGGTACCTACACTTGCCGTGCCTACAATGCAGTGGGTGAAGCCATCACCTCTGCCGTTGCCGTGGTGCACACCAAGAAGTCCATCTATTTGGAGTCCCAGCACGAGACTGCATTGCCACGACTGCAGCACTTGGAGGATGGCTCCAAGCGTCAACGCATTAGCGTTCAGGATGAGTTTGTTTCACAGGCTCCGGTCTTTACCATGCCCGTTAGGGATGTTCGTGTAGCTGAAAACCAAGCTGTGCACTTTGAAGCCCGTCTTATTCCCGTGGGTGATCCAAAACTCAAGGTTGAATGGCTGCGCAATGGCCAGCCCATTGAGGCATCTAACCGCACAACCACCATGCACGACTTTGGATATGTGGCTCTGAACATGAAGTACGTCAATCCCGAAGATTCTGGCACCTATACCTGCCGTGCGGTTAACGAGCTGGGTCAGGCCGTAACATCCGCCTCTCTGATTGTGCAGTCTAAGACGGCCATTCAGCTTGAGACACAGCACGAAGCAGCCATGCACAAGATTCATCAGCTAGAGGATCACAGCAAGTACCAGCGCCGTGAGGAGGAGGAATATACCGTTACCACTGCGCCCACGTTTGTTACCAAGTTAATTGGACCCACCAATCTGGTTGAGGGTCAAAGTGCCCATTACGAATGCCGCATTGAACCCTATCCGGATCCAAATCTGAAGGTTGAGTGGTTACATAACGGCAAGCCCCTGAGCACTGGCCATCGCTTCCGCACCACCTACGATTTTGGTTTTGCCGCCCTCGACATTCTCACTGTCTATGCGGAGGACAGTGGGGAATACACTTGCCGTGTGACTAACAATCTGGGCGAGGCTGTCAACTCGATTGCCCTCAATGTGACTTCCCGTTCGTCGATTATTCATGAAACGCAGCACGAGGAGGCGTTGCATAAGATTCAGCATCTGGAAGATACCTCCCGTTTCCAGCGCAAAACCGAAGAGGATCAATTCCACGCGGAGCGTCCACAGTTCGGACGCCCACTGCGTAATGCCAAGGTCAATGAGGGCACACCCGTACATCTTGAAGCCACACTAATCCCCGTGAACGATCCCACTATGAAGGTCGAATGGTATTGCAATGGCAAACCCATCCAATCGGGACACCGTTTCAAGACCACTTACGATTTCGGTTTTGTTGCCTTGGACATACTGTATGCTCACGCCGAAGACACAGGCACCTACATGTGCAAGGCTAAAAATGCTGTTGGGGAAGCTGTCACGACTTGTGCTGTAAACGTAACAGGTAAGCTCGCAGAGCGCCAATTTATATTCATTACTAATCAGTTTTAACTTTTAGCAAATAAGACACTGGATCTGGATACGCTTGATGCTCAACGACTTGAGAAGATTCGCCAGCTTGAAACCTATGTGGCACCCGCAAAGGTCGAAGTGGAGGAGAAAGGACAGAAACCAATTTTCCTTACCCCACTTAGCAACCTAGAGCATCTTAAGGAGGGCGAGCATGGCCATTTGGAGTGTCGCGTTGAGCCTATCAATGATGCCAATCTGAAGATCGAGTGGTTCTGCAATGGAAAGCAATTGCCTACTGGACATCGTTATCGCACCACCCATGACTTTGGCTACGTAGCTCTGGACATTTTATACGTTTATGGCGAGGACACAGGCACTTATATGTGCAAGGCCACCAATCTCCTGGGCGAAGCGGTCAATACCTGCAATGTGCGTGTGCTGAACCGACGCAGCATGATATTGGATACTCAGCATCCTGATGCTCTAGAGAAGATACAGAAGTTGGAGTCTAAGGTTGTCACCACACGCACCGAAGTCGGCGATCACCCCATTGGTCCACCCCATTTCACCGCTGAACTGCGCGGCTCCACAGAGATATACGAGGGACAAACGGCGCACTTTGAAGCCCAGGTGGCGCCCGTGCACGATCCCAACTTGCGAATTGAATTCTATCATAATGGCAAGCCCCTGCCCTCGGCTGCCCGATTCCACATCACCTTCGACTTTGGCTATGTGTCATTAGACATTACTCATGCCGTGGCCGAAGATGCGGGCGAATATTCTGTGCGTGCTGTTAATGCCCTGGGTCAGGCCGTATCTACGACCAATCTGCGAGTGATCGCCCGCGGCACTATTATTTCAGACACTCAACATCCTGAAGGCCTAGAGAAGATACGTAAATTGGAGTCTGCGGCACCGCATCAGCGTCAGGAAGTTGAAACTCCTGGCACACGCCAGCGTCCAGTATTCACACAACCGCTTCAAAATATTGATCGCATCAATGAGCACCAGACCGCCCACTTTGAAGCTCGCCTGATTCCAGTGGGCGATCCCAACCTGAAGGTCGAATGGTACCGTAACGAGAAACTGATCGAAGATAGCTCCCGTATTACTAAGCAGCATGACTTTGGCTTTGTTTCGCTGGATATCTCGCACATCCGTAAGGAGGACGAGGGCGTTTACATGTGCCGCGCCATCAATCCGCTGGGTGAGGCTGTCACCACCGCTTCTATGCGCGTGGTTACTGAGGCCAGCATCCAAATGGATACTCAACATCCGGACAGCATCCGTCGTATTCATCAGCTGGAGAAGCCGCTGGCTCCACTTCCCACCGAGCCGGAGCGTCTCTTCGAGAAGCCCATCTTCACACAGCTTCTTACAGGCCCGTCTGAGCTGTGGGAGGGTGCACATGCGCACTTTGAAGCTCGTGTTGTACCTGTCGGTGATCCCTCACTCAAGTTCGAGTGGTTCATTAATGGCGTGGAACTGCAAATGGGATCCCGTCTGCGCACCACCCACGACTTTGGCTTTGTCACTCTGGACATTGCAGCTGTGGTGCCTGAGGACGCTGGTGTGTACATGTGCCGTGCCTACAATGCCGCTGGCGAGGCTGTGTCTTCCACTGCCATGAAGGTGAAGACGAGAGCTAACATTGATGGACAGCCCTTGATTCCCGAGTCCTGGGAGGCCATTCGCCTGAAAGAGGCAGCAATGAACCGTGTGCCCGAAATGTTCGTGGACTCTACACCACAGCAGGCTCCAGTTTTCACCACCCATTTGCAAAGCTACGACAAATTGCACGAGGGTCAGCATGTTCTTCTGGAGGCTCAGGTAGAGCCACGCGCCGATCCCAATCTGCGCATTGAGTGGTTCAAGAACGGCATCTCATTGACCACCGGCTCTCGTATACGCAGCACCTTTGACTTTGGCTTGGTTACCTTGTCCATTAATGGCTTGCGTGAGGATGACTCCGCTATTTACACTTGCAAAGCCACCAACCAGGTGGGCGAGGCGGTGTCGACTTCGTCACTCAAGATTGAAGATCGCCACTGGCTACACGCTGAGTCTTTGCATCCGGACTCACTGCCACGAATTGGTGAGCTGGAGGCACCTAAGGAGGGTCGTCCAGAGGCCCCAGAGCCGACATATGAGACGCCTGTGTTCATCACACATTTGAACAACATTGAGTGCAAGGAGAGCGACAATGTGCGCTTCGAGTGCAATGTGGAGCCAGCTCGTGATCCAACTATGAAGATTGAATGGTTCTACAATGGACAACCCCTGCAGGCCGCTGCCAAGTTTAAGTCCATCTATGACTTTGGCTATTGTGCCCTGGATCTGACCAATGCGTATGCCGAGAACAGCGGCATCTATACCTGCAAGGCCACCAATAGCAAGGGCTCGGCCACCACTTCTGGAACATTGAAATGCACTGGTGGCAAGACCATGTTCCTGGACACCCAACATCCACAGGGTGAGAGCGGTCTAGAAGCTGTGCAGGAAACGGAAGAGGCATTGGCCAATCGATATGCCCAGAAGACAACCAAGCCGGAGACTCAATACCCACCACCAGTCTGGACTAAGCCACTGCAGCAGGAGTTCCACCTATCCGAGGCGCAACCTATCCATCTGGAAGCCAATGTGGAGCCCAAAGAGGATCCCAACTTAGTTATCGAATGGTATTTCAATGGCAAACTGCTGCAGCATGGTTCACGCTTTAAGATGACCACCGAATTCGGTTTCGTTACCATGGATATGATAGAAGTGTACTCCAGAGATCAGGGCATTTACACTTGCAAGGCCTACAACAAGGCTGGCGAAGCATTCACCTCCACAACAATATTCTGCTCTAGCAAAGACAATATCATTGAATCCACTCAGCATCCTAAGGGCGCCGAGGGTCTGGAGCAAATTCAAGATCTAGAGGACTCATTGCGCAAGGATGGCAGCAAGCCGGAGCAACCAGAACAGGGAATTGCACCACGTTTCACCACCGAATTCGTTAACATTGTGGATATTGGCGAAGGCGAATTGGCCCATTACGAGGCCAATCTCATACCTCTGGGAGATCAGAGCATGGTCATTGAATGGTTCTTTAACGGAAAGGTTCTTGAGGCCAGCCATCGCGTGCGCACCATCTATGCCTTTGGTACCGTCGCACTGGAAGTGCTGGGCACCAAAATCGAGGATACTGGCACCTACACCTGCCGTGCCACTAACAAATATGGTTCGGCTGAGATAAGCTGCACTTTGGAGTGTGTAGAGAAGCCACGTGGTCAGAAGCCACACTTCACATCGCATATTCAACCGCTGCAGGGCCTGAAGGATAGTCAATCTGCGCACTTTGAGTGCACCTTGATTCCGGTTAATGATCCAGAGCTCAAGGTCGAGTGGTATCATAATGGCAAACTGCTTCGTCACTCCAATCGCATTAAGACGGTATCCGACTTTGGCTATGTGGTCCTAGACATTGCCTATCTGCAGGATCACGACAGTGGTGAATATGTTTGCCGAGCCTACAATAAATATGGCGAGGACTTCACCCGTACCACTCTTAACTGTGGTGGTCGTGGCGGCGTTTTCTACGACAGCTTGCAGCCCGATTCACTGCAAAGGATTCGTGAGCTAGAATGCCCACAGGGACAGCAAACTGATACCAGTGCACCGCTGGTTGCCGAGCCACCAAAGTTTATTACGCAGATCAGCGATGTCACCAAGCTGGTGGAGGGCCAGAGCGCTCACTTCGAGGCCCGCCTGACGCCGATTACCGATCCTGACTTGGTGGTTGAGTGGTATTTTAATGGCAAGAAGCTTCCACATGGCCATCGTTTCCGCACCTTCCACGACTTTGGTATTGTCATCCTGGACATACTCTATTGCTACGAGGAGAACTCAGGCGTTTACGAGTGCCGTGCCTTCAACAAGTACGGCGAGGATGTTACTCGTGCTAGTCTGAAGTGCGCATCCAAGGCCAGCCTTATTTTGGACTCACAGCTGCCACGCGGCATGGAAGGTGGTCTGGAGAAGATTGCCAATCTGGAGTATAGCATGGTACGCTCGCGTGAAGAGACTACTGAAGAAACCAGAGGTAAGGCACCTGTATTCACCGTGCCACTGGAGAATATTGAAAACCTGCGCGAGGGTGAGAATGCTCACTATGAGGCACGCATTACGCCCGCCGATGATCCCAAGCTGAAGGTGGAATGGTACTGGAATGGCCGCCCATTGAAAGCAGGCTCACGCTTCCGCACATTCTGCGACTTTGGTTTTGTCATCTTGGAAATTTCGCCCGTTTATCCCGAAGATTCGGGTGAATACTCGTGCCGTGCTATCAATGAGTACGGTGAGGCTGTGACCACCGCAACGATGAAAATTCAGGGCAAGCGCAGTATCATCATGGAATCGCAACTGCCCAAGGGCATGGAGGGCACCATCGATCGTATCGCCGAGCTGGAGGGTCTGGGCTCGCGCAGCACAGAGTTTGTACCGGAAGACGATACAGGCAAGCCGCCAGAATTTATTACGACACCTTTCGACATGGTCATCGGAGAGAACTCCTTGGCCCACTTCGAGTGTCGTCTGCAACCCATAAACGACCCCTCCATGCGTGTGGACTGGTTCCACAACGGCAAGGCATTATGGTCCGGTTCTCGCATTAAGACCATTAACGACTTTGGCTTTGTCATTCTTGAGATTGCCGGCTGCTACCAGCGTGATACAGGTCTGTATACCTGCAAGGCGACCAACAAGCATGGTGAGGCCACGGTGTCCTGCAAACTGCAGGTCAAGGGTCGCCAAGGAATTGTTGTGGAGCCGCAGCTGCCCTCTAACTTCCGCACTGGCACTGAAAGCCTGCAAAAGCTGGAGGAAAGCATGCACAAGCGGGAAGAGATTGTCATCGATGAGGAGCAACCAAATCCACCTAAGTTTATTGAGCAAATCAAGGATAACTTGGATGTGCCCGAAGGTGGACCGATACACTTCGATTGCCGTGTAGAGCCCGTTGGTGATCCAACAATGCGCATCGAATGGTTCTACAATGGACGTGTCATGGCCACCGGCTCCAGAGTGCATCAACTGAACGACTTTGGCTTCATTGCTTTGGATATTGACTATATCTATGCCCGCGATTCCGGCGAGTATACCTGCCGTGCCACCAACAAATGGGGCACTGCCACCACCACTGCAAAGGTGACCTGCAAGGGTAAGCACAACATTGTTTATGAATCGCAGCTGCCTGAGGGCATGACCGCCGAGAAGTTGAAGGAACTGGAACGCGGACGCATACCAGAGGTACCCCAGATTGTTGAAGAGCAGTTTGGACCACCGAAGTTCATCACTCAAATAGCTTCATGCACGGCCGAGGAGTCTGAAGCCGTGAGGTTCGAATGTCAAGTAGAGCCCAAGACGGATCCCAGTCTGCGTGTTGAATGGTATCGCAATGGCAAACCTTTGCCCCTGGGTCATCGCTATAGAAACGTCTTTGACATGGGCTTCGTCTCGCTGGACATTTTGTATGTGTACAGCGACGACTCTGGCGAGTACGTTTGTCGTGCTGTCAACAATCATGGCGAGGATCGCACCAAGGCTACTGTCTCCTGCAAGAGTAAGTCATAACATATATCGCTCGAATATATTAATTATAATCTTCCTCAAATCTCTTCCTAGAACTACCGACAATATTGCTGCAAAATCAAGTGCCCCGTGGCATGAAACGCTCGGAAACGCTCACCCAAATGGAGGCCACAATCAAGAAGTACACGACCGAGGTGCATTTAACCGAGGATGATCTTTTCGATCCCGATCGCAAACAGCCACCTCGCTTTGTTACCCAGATCAAGGAACAGCTCACATTGACGGAGATGGCCAAAACCAAATTCGAGTGCCAGCTGGCGCCTGTAGGTGATCCGAACATGAAGGTCGAATGGTTCTTTAATGGCAAACCCTTGCTCTACAGTAAGTGCGGAAAGCCTATAACCAATACATATATTTTATAATAAACTTATACATGCAGAAAATCGCTTCGAGCCCATCTACGATTTTGGCTATGTGGCCATGAACTTCGGCTGGGTATATCCCGAGGACAGCGGCGAATACGTTTGCCGAGCCACAAACTTGTATGGCATGGATGAGACTCGTGCTACGATCAAGGTCTCCGGCAAGCCAGGTATTGTCTACGACTCCCAATTGCCGGCCCATATGCAGAGCATTGATCGCATTCGCGAAATGGAAGCTTCCTGGCAAGTGTAAGTTGTCTGAAGTATAAGCTATAAAAATCCAATCGATACATTTGTTATCTGTCCCCACAGTGTGCCCGATGAAGTTGATCCTGATGCCAAGCCCAGAACGAAGCCCATGTTTGTTAGCAAGCTGGAGCCACAGACGGTGGAGGAAGGTGAACCGGCCAGGTTCTGTGTGCGCGTTACCGGACATCCACGTCCTCGAGTCATGTGGTTAATCAATGGTCACACTGTTGTGCATGTAGGTTTCTGCTGACACAATTATTTGCCTTTTGCATACTAATTTTCTTATACACAGGGATCTCGTTACAAACTGACCAACGATGGCATGTTCCATCTTGATGTACCCAAGACGCGTCAATATGATACTGGCAAGGTGGAGGTTATAGCGCGCAACTCTGTGGGCGAATCGATTGCTTCGACCGAACTGAATGTTGTCGCACGCTCTGATGATTATCGCAATGTGCTCAAGAACTCACCACGCCGTAAGTCACACATATATACTCACGCACACACACATTTGTTTCAAACACACCTGGTTATACAAGCAGAAATATATAAATATGAATTATTTTAACAGCTATATGAAATTAACACACATTCTAAATGCAGTAGTCTTTAGCTGGCAAAACTAAAAAGAAAAACACGAAAAACACCACATTAAATACCTCATTGTAAATATACATACATATATAAATATATACATATAAGGTCCACTAGTACGCATATTTAAGTAGACGTAGCTGCAGCAACCAACTTTATTGCATTTGAAGCACATGCCACAAATATATAGAATATATGTAGGTCAGACAACTGAGAGCCACAAAACCCCATTACAATATACCCAATTCCCTACGAGAAAACGCTTTCCTCTAATTATCCCACAAGAGCCTTTTGTTGTCTACTCAACGAGCTTTCAAGGAGCGACCCAGAGGGAACTGCGCCTTTATGGACTCCATCACTAAGTATCGCTGGACCATCGGGTAGTATGGTTGTGCAAGTTTTTAGTGTGCGTGTTTAAAAGACTGTCTGTTCTAAACTGTGGCTGATCATATTCAACTTCTGTCTGTCTTCATAAGCAATTGAATCAAAAACCTAAAGGAGTTAGTAAACCTCTGTGAATATCATCAAAAATATTTGTCATGTCTTTCTACTTATTTTAATTCATCTACTAAAACTAAAGCTATAGGAATGCAGTTTTATCTAACCAATATGATCATAATGGCATGCAAATAGTTATTTTTTCTTCGTAATGGTCTCTATGTGCCTAGCTATAGCCTCTGGAAAGTGTTTAATCTAGTAAATTTGTTTTTACATGTAGCCTGGTACGATTATGAGCTAGCAGGCTATCAGAAGGAGCGTCAGGAGAACGAGTTAGAAAAGGTATTCGATGAACGTAAGCAATATTTGTCTGAGCAGAGTGCGCACACTCTGAAGGGCGTTGAACACTTGAAGCCCAAACAGTATAAGCCACAAACACCCGAGTGGCAACAGAGCGTCAAGGCCAAAAAGAGCGAGGAGTACTACAACAAGTTGCAGGAGCTGGAAACCGAGCAGCTGCTCAAAGAGACCACATTACGTAGAGATAATCATCAATATGCCATACCTGGTGAGAAGGTTGTCAGCAGCTCTGCTGCCAAGGGCATGGCCCAGTCCTACGAGGAGAATCTGTAAGCACACATGCACGTATTCTAGTAACTTATTACAACACCCCAAATTCAATCTCCACAGTCAGGAGCAGACCAGCACCACTCAAATCAAGGCGGCACCACCAAAGGGGGTAGCCCAACCTTCTGAATCCTCGGTGCATGGACGGGAGGTGCACATGAACAAGCAGCAGCAAGTTCAGAAGGAGATTCAAGGCGATTTGGAGATTACTCGCAAGATCACGGCTACCGAGACCACAGAAATGGAGCACAAGGGCACAATTCAGGAGCGCGTTGTAAAGGGTCCCGTCAAGCCCGCAAAGGCACCCGTCTTTACCAAAAAGATTCAGCCATGCCGCGTCTTTGAAAATGAGCAGGCCAAATTCGAGGTTGAGTTTGAGGGCGAACCAATGCCCACTGTGAAATGGTATCGCGAGAGCTTCCCCATCCAGAATTCACCCGATCTTCAGATTCACACGTTCAGCGGTAAATCCATATTAATCATACGCCAAGTTTTCATTGAGGACTCGGCTGTCTTTTCGTGTGTGGCCGAGAATCGTGGCGGAACTGCCAAATGCAGCGCCAACTTGGTAGTGGAGGAGCGTAGACGCGCCGGCAAAGGCGGCATACAGCCGCCCAGCTTTGTAAATACCATTCAAAGCACCACCGTAGCCACTGGCCAACTGGCACGCTTTGATGCTAAGGTGACCGGCACGCGCCCCATGGATGTTTACTGGTTGAAGAACGGCATGAAGGTTCAGCCAAGCATTAAATTCAAGATGCTGGAAGAGGACAACATTCATACATTGCTGATCATTGAACCCTTCGCCGAGGATTCTGGCCGCTATGAGTGCGTGGCTGTTAACGCCGCTGGCGAGGCACGTTGTGATGGTGATTGCATTGTCCAGTCTCCCGCAAAGCCGGAGAAGCCAACAACGCCTGGTAGCGAGAGGCCACCGCACATTGTGGAGCAGCTGAAGAGCCAGTCCGTGGAGGAGGGCAGCAAGGTGATCTTCCGCTGCCGCGTGGATGGCAAGCCCACACCCACAGCTCGTTGGATGCGTGGCGAGAACTTCGTGAAGCCATCCCGCTACTTCCAAATGACGCGCCAAGGCGAATACTATCAGCTAATCATATCGGAGGCATTCCCCGAAGATGAGGGCACCTACAAGTGCGTTGCTGAAAACAAGCTGGGCAGTATTCAGACCAGTGCGCAGCTCAAGGTGCGCCCCATTGAGAATCTGGATGCACCACCAACCATAACCGCTCTTAAGGATGTCTCCGTCAGTGAAGGTATGCCAGCACAGTTCAAAACCACTGTCACGGGCAAAGTGAAAGCTACCAGTGTGCAGTGGTTCCGAGAGGGACAGCTGATACCTGAAACACCCGATTTCCAGGTAGGTTGAGTAAAAAAATCTTCGCTTTATTACAGAAATACGTCTTCGCAATAGCCAAAATTATTCGATTAAACCAACTTTGATATCATTTTAGATGATCTTTGACGGTAACAGTGCCGTTCTATTAATTGCCACCACCTACGAGGAAGATTCGGGCATCTTTACTGTACGTGTGACTTCGTCAACTGGACAGGTCGAGTCATCAGCCAAACTGACTGTTAAAAGTAAGGATTAAACTAAAAACTTAGCAAAACCAAAACCAGAGTTCGTAAACAGCAAGAAAACAAACGTAAGCGAACAGTGTTCGAAAACTCCAAAGAATGCTCAAAAAACATAACGACCAAAAACGAAAGGAATTATTCATATATTTATATATGCATATCTTTTTTTACACAACGGATCCCTATACTGACGACTTTTACAGCCCAACTAACTAAATACTTTCAAAAACTAGTCGAAAAAGTTTGAGCGAAGAATATTTTAAAGCGAACGTTACGACAGTTTCATTTTATATTTTTACTACAATATGATTTCATTTAAAACAACGAACGAGTTCTTTTAATTACTAACCAACTTCAAAATGTGAAGCCAAGCAACAATTTACGATGTTTAACACGAAAAAGGTAACAAAAACAAAAAAAAAGCAAGTTTATTTAAAAAGAAATTAATATTAATAAAAAAATAATAATAATTACAAGTATTTTGCAATATAAATATTTATAGAACATTTTCATTTTGGCATAGCCAATCAAGAGGGAATAGCTTGTCGGTTGTATATAAAATTCAAAAATCTTGAAATTTGAGTGAAAATCTTGTTCAAAGTAAAAGAAAAAAGACTCAACACTTGCCCCTTGAGTGAGAATTATAAATAAGGCAGCTTATGTACTTTCATTTTGGTCCGAACACCTAACACATGCACAAACTTAAGTGTGTGTATATACAGCTCAGGCACTTTATAAATATGTTGAGTTCCTTCTGTATCTAGCCTACATATAATAGCTATGTGTATAAGAAAACATATAGAAACATGTGTCGGAATAGTTTTGGGGCCGTGTGCAAAACGCACATTTGTCCCGCCTCCGCTCGAGCTTGAAAGTTTTATTTTTCATTTGAATATTAGCATAAAATATTGTGGATGACACATCTAGCGCACACGGTTCCCTGTAGCTTCAGCTCTGCTGTATCCATGTCCATACCATAGCTACCAAATACTTATATGAATATCTTGAAATGAACGTGCGCAAAACTAGCACAACCAAAGGGGGATACGTTAATGAGCAAAAAGCGAAAATATTGAAAGGCATTGCAGACATTGAATTTCAGCTGCCAACAAGCAGATTATCTATATGCTATGCTACTATACTATATATGTATGGTTGCTGTCTATTCTATTTTCAATTTCTTTTTTGGAAAATGTTTTTGCTTTGAAAACTAATTTCCAATAGATTAGCTAGAAAAAAAGAAGGAGAACAAAAAAATGAACAAACCGTTTGATATTTTTAGACCGAAGCGCTGTCTGGATATTTCTTTTGTGGCTACAATGAAAAACATTTTATGTATTTTTCTAGTAAATCATGAAATTTATTTCAATTCTCTTTCATTTAAAAATTAGAAAAATAAAATAAAAAATAATATTGGCTTTCAATGTTCGGCCGCTGATGAAAATAAACTGACATTTAGTTCAGGCGAAAATAAAATAATTAATTACCTACAAGTTGTTTGTTTTCTGCATAGACAAGATATGAGTAGCCGATTTGCCAGAGATCTATAAGCACACTCACACACAGACATATGCAAATGCACATGGTTATTCATTTGGGTAGATGTTAGTCATTAGACAAGAACATAAATTAATGACTCTGTTTATGGTGCAGAAATGGTTTTAATTAAATTAATCAGTTACGGTAGTTCACTCATCAAATCGGTCCTCTGCCTCTGATTCACACATTTGTTTATATTTTTAGAAGGTAGCCCCCAGCTAGCGCCTATTTTGTATCCAACCGACAATTTAGCAGCAATCCCTGTAGAATGAAAGAAATGCATATTAGTATTGAACGTTAGATATTGGAACGATACTTTCAAGTATTACGATCAAATTTTTATTACGTACTCGACCATGTACTTGACCTAGACAGAGACAGATATATATATATATATATACACATATATGATTGTTCGGACAAGCCTCGAAACGTATTATTATATTATTTGACGTTTGATTATAATCAATTTTAATTGTTTATTTAATTTACAATTATTTATTTTGTAGTGATGTTGCATGAGATTTTATTATTCATTTTTTATTGCCGCTTTTTACTACTAATTTGTTTCGTTCTCATTTCTTCCACTGTTTGTTACCACTCTCAAACTATATCGCATTTCCAAACACACAAATCGATTCAATTTTCGAGAAAAAAATCCATAACATATCAACATATCCGATGAAAGTATTTGCCGCTTAAGCCGCCAATATATTTCTTGTAAGCTTTGTGGTAAAAATGCTTTACTAAAAAATTAATCATAAAAACTCATGCGACTTTTGTTTTAAGTTTGATCTACAAATACATTGAGATACTCGGATTCCTCTGTCAGTTAATTAATAAATGTTTATGTTTACGTTTCGTGTTTTAAGTGTGGCTCGATCGATTGATAATCAAGATCCGATCCGATTCGATCGATCAATTCAATAATTCTTTTGTTCTTCATGCCACACTTTTGTTGTTTAATTGTATTTCTCATGTATTTAATGCTTAAAACCAATATCGCGTCTTTCAATAAAACAACGCAAATGCATCATCAATTGATAATCGTTTTTGATAACTTTCAATATGCCTTATGCTTGCGCATCCTTGCTGCTGCTTGCTCCTACCGTTTATAGGTAATGTATATGTATATATAGATCAACAGTATTATAATTAGTACTTTAATGTTTTATGTTAACGGTTTACAACACTTGAGGACTGCACAATTTAAGTTATACACACATTTGCCCCGTGTGGCAATTCGACTACCTTCTGTGCTCGATTGTTGTCTACATCCGAATGAGATCGCTCGAATGCGCTGCGCTGCGCTGGCTGCGTTGCGCTGTGATGCTCACCCCAAAAATACCCACAGATACAGAGAACCGCCAAAGAATCTTGTTGAAACTGTTTACCCCACCTGGTGACGTAGCCGCCACTAATCATAAATCTATTTTAGGCGTGTATTGTAAACAGGCATTTGAATTGTTTGCTCTCAATCTTAATTGTATTCGCCCAGCCCGATCATTATTTTGGGCAATACTTCGTCATGATGATGAAGCCGCTGTACTTAGCTGATGATAAATATTAATGACTGTCGCATTGAATATGTGCCAAAAAATAGCTTTGGGTTAATGCAAGAATCACAGGTGAGATTCGTCACAGACAATTAATGAATCACGAAACATGTTCGCATTCTAAAATATATATCTTTTGCTTTATCAATGTCATATATTGAGCTGATAGGAGAGTCAAATTTTTTAATTACCAAATTATTGAACATAGATGGGCTATCATGAGCGAGTGTATAAAGCAATATGATTTGTGGCTGTCGTGCCCCTTGTGGCTGTGGCTTTTAATATTAGGCAGCTTTATAATTCTACATATAAACAGAAATATTTCATATGCTCTGTCATGGTATTTGAATATTTTGCACACTAAATTTATATTTTCAAGTTCATTGTTTATACATATGTTCATACATATGCAAGGTATTTTGATTTATTTTTAATATTCAGAATAAGCACCATGGTGTATATATCAGAGGTATGTATCAAGTTGCCACACCCTTTAATTAACCTTATGCTATGACTATGTCGAACACTGTTATGAACTCTGGTGTCAAGGATGTTTCCCGCCCTCATATACTCTACTAACACATAAACTTCCATTTAAACTTCTAGAACGACGTATCTCGGCTTATCAATTGCGTCCGATTGATTCTGTCGAAGATGAGTCATCATCGTCTGGCAGGGAAGATAGCTCTCCTGAATCGCCGCATCAGCAACAGCAGTCACAACAGCAGACAGGCGAATATGGCCAATTTCTGGGCGTTAATGGGCAGGTACAGCATCAGGGTCGGTCGCGAACTAAGAAGCCCAAAGTACGCAGCAAATCCTTGCAGCCGCCGACTAATGTTGTGCCTTGGCGCAAGTCCTCACGTCCACACCGTGGACGTTCTCTAGACAAGCAACCATTCCTGCCGGGCTTTAAGCCGGAACCGGTAAAATCATGGACCGAAGAGACAATTAGCTTAAAGGCCACGCCCATTGAGAAAAAGAAACCAACACCTAAGCTTGAAGCCGCTAAGGTTGTCCTCAAGTCTATCAAGAACGAAAGGGATCAAGGCATCATGAGTCTTGGTGCCACCTTAGAGCAGATTATTGCTGGCAAAACTGAAAAAGAGGCTGTGCCTTGGATAACTATGCGAGAGAAGCTCAAGCAGGTGGAGAGTGTGCAGCAGCAGTTAAGCAAATTTGACCTTGATGAGGTCTACCTGCGTCCACTAGAGGGTCAAATCGAGACGGACGAGCAATTGCCAAAACAAGCGCAGGTGGAGCAAGTACAGCGCACCAAGGAAATCCAACGCCTTAAGAGCATGGAGAGTGTGGAAATTATGGAAATGACTGATCAAATTGAAAAGCTTATTACCCAGCAACAGAATAATAAGGATCTCATTCCATGGAAAGAGATGCGACAACAGCTTAAGAGCGTGCAACGAGTGACGAAACAGATGGACAAGTTCAAGATTGAAGAGGTTGAGCTACGTCATCTGCAGGCACAACAGACAATCAGTGAAGAGTTCCAGAATGCTACCCACGATACAGTTATCATGACTATTGACGATAGCTCAAAGGGTTCAATTTCTAAAGTTATGACGCGCAATGAGGTTCAGCATTATGAGGACCAATCCAATATCTACAAACAACAGTTCATTACCACAGAAGATGTTAACATAATGCACGTCTCGGAGCGTGAAAAGCTGGAGGCACAACGACTGATCAGACAACAACAAGCAGTCAACTGGAGACAGCAGAATCAGCGTCCCAAATTGCAGCCACTGACCTCTGTGGAAGATACAATTTCACAGACTAGTGAACGCCATAAACTTGTACAGCAGGAAAGCATCATGGAGGAGGCCCAGCGTCAGCAGTACGTGCAAATCGAGGACTCACAAATGATGAGCCTTGAGCAGTATGAACACCAAAAGTTAATCAACCAGCGCACTCAACTGGAAGCTCACAACTGGCGTCAGCCACGCGAGCCACAGAAGTTCATTCAGGTTGAGGATTCGTCTCTGTTACACCTGCAAGAACGTCAGGATACACAGGAGCAGCAGCTGATTCAGCCGGAGGCCGTTCTTTGGGATCGGGGTAACAAGAAGCCCGAGCAAGTGCAAGCCCCAGCTCCAGTTCAGGAACAATATGTGGATAAGCCAAAGACATATGAGGAAATGCACGACGAATTAATTGAACAAGTTCCAGTCCAACAGCAGGAACCAGTGCCGGTTATGTGGGAGCGTGGCAAAAAGCAACCCATGCAACCGCAACAGAAGACCTTTGAGGAGCTACACGACGTACTGGATGAAACAGTGATTGTTCAACAACCAGAACCAGTTCCAGTCATGTGGGAGCGTGGCAAGAAGAAGCCCATATCTCAGGAGGTCACAGATTCTCAGGAAATTGTGCAGACGTCAGAAGTTGTTCAGCAACAAATTGTTGAGGAAACGAAGAAAACGGCAGTGCGCCGAGTAATTCCACCACGTGAGGCTGAAGAAAGAGTAGAGCAGGTTACGCTTAAGCCAACACCACGACAGCCTCCAAAAGCAGTCCCGAAGTCTGAAGAGTTCCAATTAAAGCCTCTTAAGAGTACACGAACAGTTCAACAAACTGTTCAAGAACCGGTTCAAAAGGCGACCGAAGAATCTACAGACAAATTAGTTGAAGAAATTGCACCCCAGGAACAGGAGCAACCTCAGCCTGTAATGTGGGAGCGTAGTAAAGATGTTAACCCCCAACAGCCAGAAAAACAAGTGCAAGAGGTTCCCAAAACACTTGAGGTGGCCGTAGATACTTTAGAAGAAGAGACCGCTAAAGCTGCAGAGTCCCAACCACAGCCAGTAATGTGGGAGCGTGGCAAGAAAAAGCCCAAACAGCCAACGGCTCAAGAGATTCCCAAGACTCAAGAAGTCGCTGTCGATACTCTGGTAGAAGAACCCGTACCAATTACAGAACCAGAGCCTCAGCCAGTGATTTGGGAGCGCGGCAAAAAGAAGCCTATACAACCAAAAACTCAAGATACTCCGAAGTCCGTTGAAGTAGCAGTTGATACCCTGGAGGAAAAAACCGTCCCAACTGCTGAACCAGAGCCACAGCCAGTTATGTGGGAGCGCGGTAAGAAAAAGAAGCCACCTACACAAGAATTAGCTAAGGAAACCGTAGTTGAATTACCTAAAGAGACTTTTGAAGAAGCAGTCGACGTTCTGCCTGATGAAATTAAGGTAGATGGAAAACCTGAACCGGTTCTATGGCAACGTGGTAAGAAGGTACCACAACCTAAGCCAGCTGAAGAATTGCACCCAGATGAAGTCGATGCACAAATTGAACAAGGTATCGAGATTGAGAATGAAGAAATTGTCGAGGAAATGCGCAAAATCAAGAAGGTTAAGAAACCTAAGCTTCCAATAGCAGCACCGAAGCAAGCTGAGCAACCTGAAGAGGAGGCTCCACAAGAAGATATCCTTGAAGAACAGGAAGAAAATGTGGAAGAACAGGAAGAGATTGTTGAAGAAAAACGTAAGATCAAGAAGGTTAAGAAACCCAAAATACCAGCTCTCGCTCAGAAACAAATTGAGCAATCTGAAGAGGAGGCTCCACAAGAAGAAACCCCTGAGGAACAGGAAGAGATTGTCGAAGAGCAAACAGATATTGTCGAAGAAAAGCGTAAGATCAAGAGGGTTAAGAAACCAAAGCTACCAATTGCACCATTGGAACAAATTGAGCAGCTTGAAGAGGAGGCTCCACAAGAAGATATCAGCGAAGCACAGGAAGAGAATATCGAAGAACAAGAAGAAGTTGTTGAAGAAAAGCGTAAGATCAAAAAGGTCAAGAAACCGCTGCAACCAGCGGATGAGGAAATTGGACAGCCTGAACAGGAGGTTCTACAAGAAGAGATCACTGAAGAACTGGAAGATAACGTTGAAGAACAGGAAGATATTGTGGAAGCAAAGCCTCAAATAAAGAAGACAAGGAAACCAAAGAAATCTGTAGAAGTGACTGCCGAGCCACAACAACCTACGGAAGACATTCCACAAGAGGAAATCACTGCAGAGCAGGAAGAAATTATTGAAGAAAAGAACAAGATTAAAAAGACAAGGAAACCAAAACCGAAAGAAGTAGAACAAGAGGAAGAAGAAGAACTTCCGGAATCACAACCTGAAGAAGTTAAAGAAACTGAAGAGCCTACTATTGAAGCGCCAACAAAAAAGAAGCCTGTTCCTAAAACACAAGAAGTCGAGCAAGTAGAAAAAGTTATGCTTAAGCCTGTGCCAAGAAAACAACAGCAACTGCCTGATAAGGAACAATTAGAAGAAGTTACATTAAAGCCCGTTGCAAAAACCTCCAGTGTCTCTGAGGCGCAACAGCCTGAAACAACTGAAACAGAATTTGTTGAGACAGAGAAGATTGTTACATTTGAAGACCAAGTTGTGGACGTTACTAAGAAACGGGTTAAAAAGAAGAAACCCAAAGTAAAACCGGAAACTGAAGGATCAATCGAAGAACCAATTGAAGATACAGCAGAACAGGAAGATGAAACCCTGCAAGAAGAAGAAGAAGAAACCGAGCCAGTGGAAAATGTGCCCGTGGAACAAGATATTGAAGAAGTAGCTCAAAAAGAGAAGGTTACCAAATTGAAGCCCAAAAAAGAGGATGTTGTCGAGGTGGTTGAAGAGGTGGCCTTAAAACCAGTGACCCGACCAAAGAAACAATTACCTCAGGAAGCTACAATTGAAGAGGTTCGTCTTAAGCCAACAAAACGCACAACTACCAAGCCTGATGAGGTAAAACTAGAAGAAGTTGATTTGCAGCATGTAGAAAAGTTGGAAGAAGAAGTAGTGCAGGAAGAGAAGCGTAAGGTCAAAAAGGTGAAAAAGCCGAAGTATGAAGATTTACCCGAAATACCAGATACAGAGCCTACGACCTTGGAAGAGGCTGAGCACATTGACATCGAGAAAGAGCCTAAGCCTGAAGAAGAAAAACCACAAGTACCTTGGAAGCGTGGTGAGAAAAAGAAGCCAGTTGAGGAACCCTTAGAGGAGAAGCAATGGCCGACTGGTAAACGGCGACCACTGCCAGAAGAGCAACCTGAAGAGGTTCATCTAAAGCCAATTCCAGCCAAGCCCGCCGAAGTGAAAGCGATACCAGAGAAAGCGATTTCCCCACCTCAGTTACAGCCTGAAGATAAGGTGGAAAGCGCTGAAGAGACGTCTGATTTGGAGCCTCTAAAGATTCCCGAAGACAAGCAACCAAAAGAAAAAGTTAAAAAAGAGAAGAAGAAGAAACCAAAGTTGAAGAAGGCTACGCCATCGGTGGATGAAGTATCGGAGGAAGTGGCCGAACCATTTGCTGAGCCTATTGCTGAGGAGGATCAAGTTGAAGGGCTGCCAGTTGATGATGTTAAGGTGGTTGCGGTCTCTGAAGATGTGCAGCCAGAGGAAGAAGTTGTGATTACTGACAAGACACCCGAAACAAAACAAAAGGCGCATAAGAAACGTACAAAACCATTGAAGGAAGCTTCGGTTGAAGGACAACCACAGCTACTAGAGGCAGCTGTAACCGAAATCGAAAAGGCTGATGAAATTTCTCAAGAGATCTCACAAAAGACTATAACCCTACTGAAAAAGACTGAAGACACAAGACCTCAATTCATAACAACAGAACAATTAATTGAACTCGATGTGGAAGATGTAAGGCGAGATCTCGAAATGAAGATCACTTCAAATATTATTAAAAAGGAGAAACGGCGTGTAGTGCTCGATGACAGTCAACCACTTCCCGAATTGGAGCTCATAACACAAAAACGCATCCAAGAGGGCATTGACAAAATGGCTGATGAGGAACTTATTGAGGATCAGCAATTGACTCAAAACTTAGAGGAAACGACAACATCTGAGGTGATTGGCCAGGAGCGAAAGCTTGTCAAGAAGAAGAAGAAGGAAATCAAGCCGCCACGCATAACAGAGAAGCTACGACCACGTCATTGCGTTCCCGAAGAGCCTACCGTTCTTGAGTGCAAGGTTGAAGGTGTTCCATTCCCAGAAATTCATTGGTACTTTAACGACATACTATTGTTTGCTTCGGAGAAGTATGAGATAACTGTGGTGGAGCAGGTGGCACAGTTAAAGATTGCGAAAGTCACTCCCAGCGATGTGGGTGTTTATACCTGTGAGGCTAAGAATGAAGCCGGAGTGGCGACTAGTCGTACCAACATTATATTAGGTAAGTTTAATATTAATCAATGAAACAAAATTTAAAATATGTGTAAGTTACTTGAAAGCTTTTAAGAAAGTTTTTTGGTGTCTTAACTATTTAATCTTTTAAAATACCCAGCTAACAAAGAAATCCCATGATCTTATTCCAAATCACAAAAAAAAAAAAAAACACAACACTTTAAAATATTTTTTATTCACAATGAATATAGAAAAAGAACAAGGAGTGCCGCCACAATTTACGAAACCACTTAAGATCGTGTTTACAGAAGAAAAAGAACCCGAGCGGCTTAAGGTTACAGTAACGTGTCAGGTCACAGGCAAGCCAAATCCTCAAGTCAAATGGTACCGTGGTATTGAGGAAGTTATACCCAACGAAGCTTTACAGATGTTCTATGATCAGCAGACTGGCGATGTGGTCCTGGAGGTTATAAATCCACCTCCTAATGAGGCTATTACCTATTCGATTCAGGCTCAAAATCCATTTGGACGCGCCGTTGGCAATGCCAATATCATGAGTCGTATTGATGAAGTTCCCAAAGAAATACTTAAAGCACCTACAGTTACGCCATTGAGTGCGGTGGTAATTCCAAACGGAGGCACTTTGCTTTTCGAGGCCAAGTACGATGGAATGCCAAGACCAGAGATCAAATGGTTGCGCAACGGTCGTGAGATAATCGAGAACGAGGAGACCATTATAGAAACAACCGAAACTACTACCACAATTAAGGTCATCAATATGACCCGTAAGCGTACAGGCAAATACGAAGTTTGTGCTAAGAATAAGGTGGGTGAGGCCAAGTCTTCGGGCTCCGTGGTAGTTTCAGACCAAGCGCCTGACAAGCAAATCAGGCCACCCAGATTTATCCAACCACTTGAACCGAAGTTCTTTGGAGAACATGAAGTTGCAATACTGGAGGCTGTTGTTGATTCAGAACCGCTTTCATCCTTCCAATGGTTTGTGCACAATGAGCCTATCAAGAGCTCCAATGAATGCCGCATTGTTACCCAGGCCAACAAGTCAACGCTCTTAATTGAGGACTTCCAAAAGAAGTTCTCTGGTCCATTTACTTGTCGGGCCGAAAACGTTGGCGGTTCCGTCACATCAACAGCAACAGTAAATATGCTAGAGGCACTGCCACAGGAAGAGGCTGTGGAATTCGAATCGCCACGCTTCATTGAGGAATTGATTCAGCCTGTGGAGGTAATGGATGGTGAAACGCTGCTGTTGACTTGTCAAGTGACAGGCAAGCCCACGCCCCGAGTGGAGTGGTATCACAATAAGGAAAAGATTACCGAAACAAAGGAAACGACCATATCGCAGGATGCGCAAGGAAATTGTCAGCTGCAAATCACCGAAGTTTTCCCTGAAAATCAAGGTCAATATAAATGCGTTGCGACAAATAAGATTGGCAAAAGCGTCACGAAGACAACGGTTAATATTCAAGGTACTTTTGGATGGTATCAATAGATAGTTGATAGTTAACAATAGAAAATTAGGCCACGTAGCATATATCATATGCATTACATTCTAAATAGGTTTTCCAATAACTACACTCTTGCCACTATCCTCCTTTTATTTCTATTTTGAACATTATATCCTTTCGAAATGTTCTTGTTACTAACTCACATCTTGAAGAACATGCATGTGATACTTGCAAATTGCATCTATGAAGTTTCGAATCTGAATCTACTTTATCACTTCTCCCAAATTCTCTTTGTAAATAATTTTCCATTTTGCGTTTGTTAATATACTCGACTGTGGGCTTGCCTATATTTAAACACTCTAAAATATTTTTTAGCATTTGAATATATCCCCGATTCTGAAATCACTGGACTCACAGGATCTGAGGAGGATCTACTTGATAGAGTAAGCGTGATTGTAGTTGAAGAGTTGCCTAGGTACTTGAAGCTAATTTTCCGTATATGATAACACCGTTTTAGACTATCTCAATCGACGAACAACCCCCGAAAATAATTAAAAAGCTACCTGAAAAAATCGAACCCAAAGAGGGTGAACAAGCGAAATTGGAAGTTAAGGTTATTGGTAAACCAAAACCAAAAGTCAAATGGCTACGTGACGACGAACAGATATTCGCTTCCGAGGAATATCAAATCGAAAATTTCGAGGATGGCACCTCAGTGCTGGTCATCAATCATGTATATCCCGATGATATGGGCACAATTAGTTTTGAGGCTTACAATCCGTTGGGAGTGGCAGTCACAACTGCACTATTCGCAGTAGAAGGTACTGTTATGGTTTATGATGTCTATAAAATACGTTTAATAATGTCATGGAACAATTTTGGAATTGTCAGTAAAATTCTTTTTCAGATCTGCAGCAGCATTACCAAATTCCCTTTTATCCTTATCCCCTTTATAATATTTATATACAATCCCCCTTGATAACATTTCCAACTCGTATTCCCTACACATACAACACTTTCAAACACGAAAGGTTAAATACTTTAATTAGAACATATAAGAAATACATAAAACACAAAAATTATTTACCTATTTTATGATGAAATTGTAATAATATGCAACTAATAACACTTCTACTATATTGCATCAATACTAGGCATCGTTGGATCTAAGGATTATCGCAAGCCAGAATGGGTGACTCACATGGAGGAGATGCAAGTCGCTCTCAAAGGTATGTATTCGAGAATTGAAAAATTAACTGATTTCTACCACTGTTATGTGTATATGTGTTTTAATTTCGTGTTTTCAACACACAAATGTTTTCCGTACTATTGTCTTAAATCACAAGCAACATTTCACAAAGTCTGTCACTTCTACTGTCTGTCTCTATTGTATTTGTCCTTGTATTATACAATGTTTCGTAAACCAACAACAGCAGCAACAAAAATTATGTGAACATGTCGATTTCGTCCAATGAAGCTTACAAATTTTGTGGCTTAGCCCTTACAGCTCTAAGGCTTATTCCCCTATCCCAAAAATCCAATATTATCGAAAAAGTAAACGCCATTAGAAATAATAGTATCAAATTTTGTTATCGTATATATATTTTCTTACAGTATCAGTACCTCATCTGCAAGTAATTGGTTGTGTTCTAAAACTTCTTTATTTTTTCTTTTTTTTTTCCAAATTTCTACTAATCCTTTATAAAGTAAATTCCAAGGAAACTATATGACATTCCCAAAACGCTGCTTGCCCTTATGTACATATCTATATACATACTACACGCTTATATGTTAAATTATTTTACTGTTTGTTTGCAAGTTTAATTTTTTCAAACGCATTACTAAATCAACAGAAAACAGACAAACAACTTACATATTACTCAAGTGAACTATATCAAAATTACTCGCTGTAAGTACAATACAGAAGTCACATACTAATTCCTGTTGCTTGTCGCACACTTTTTCTTTGCTATAGAGAGTAGTAGCTAATATATAGTTAAATTATGCAATTTTTATGCTTATAGCTGCTAAATGCTCGCCATCGCTACTAAATGAAATGCGTGACTGCCGTGCGGCCATTGGCGATACTGCGAAATTCTCAATACAATTTGCAGGCAACCCGCAACCAGGTACTGTATACTCTCTGTAGTGCACTGCAGGTGGCCAGGGCTTGATGGAAGATTGGTTTACTGATTTTGTAGATATACAGTGGTATTTCAACAATGTGCAACTGAGGGCGTCTGAAAAGTATCGCATGATAGTGCAGGAAACAGAAGCAACGCTAGAAATATTCAAGACTACAAATGATGACTGTGGTTACTACAACTGCAAGCTGATCAATGAGATTGGCATGACAATGACGCGCGCTAAGTTCGACATTTCCTCGACATCTGCTGAGGCAGATGCGATGGAAAACGTGAAGACGAAAACAACTGTAAGGAAGAAAGCGGCTAAAAAGGCATCCAACACAATGGCAAAACGAACTAGTGCCTCTGAATCTCAGACGCTACATAGGACGGAAATCAAAATAGTGCCAGCCAGTACAGCAGAGACGTCAGTGAATATAATCAAAGTGAAACAGGCTGTGCCGATATTGGTGGAGCACAGTGAAGTTTCGGAAGTAATGCAAGTCAAAGATCGCAAAATTGCTGATGCTGAACAGCGTAGCAGAGTCATTGAAGAAATTGTAGAAGAAGATGAAGAAGAAGATGTGGTTTCGGAAGAAGAGATCCATGTGGTAAAAAAATACACGTCGAGTAAATCTATTGAGCTTACTGAAACAGTTGAACTAATACGCACCAAAATAACAATGAAAACCATTAAAATTGAAGATATTTATGAGATAAGCCAACATGAAGAGGTGCAATGGCTGCTCGAATCGGTCGAGGCCGAGTCCTTTGGAAAGATTGGCGAGGCGGCTCTCAGAGATTTAGCCACAATTGGTGTGCTATTACGCTACGGCTGCACTCATTATGAGATAACATACATGTACGAACAGAACATATTCATATCGCTACAGAAGCCCGAGTCACAATCGGCTCTGGTTCAGCTAGTGGAGCGTGAAGGGCACGAAGAGCTGATAACACAGATCTTAAGTGAATCTTCGACCGAGGACGAAACAATACTGGCAGCGACAGTCGGCTTTAAAGCCTTTATACGTATGATACAGACGTACGAAATTACAATAGAGACTGTCATACGAAAGTTTCATAGGGAGGATTTCATCTCGCACGATTGGAAGATATGCGGAAAGGAGGTTTGAATTCTGTTTTGTTTGTTTCTGTTTGTTACTGCAGTTGTGTAGACAGTTGAAATGTCAAGAAAAATGTATTTTAAATTTCATATTGTTTTGCTTGAATTGGGAAATCATTTAACAACTTGCATTTCAACTAATTACCATCACGATTTATATGCTGGTAATTTAAAATATTATCTAGACTGAAGCTCTTAAAGCATATCCATTAGTATATTGATGTTTTTTCTTATACATTTTTTAATCGATTCACTGGAATCTAGAGAATAGTAGAGACATCCCAGATAATTGAAAGTCACGAGGCTATTACGCATGTAAAAATAGGTGAGTGCCGCTTATTTTGTATATATAAATATTACAATTTTAAATATGCTTTAATCCATTTATATTTTGAATACTGAAACGCAATTTTGTTTCTTTTTTTTTCAAAATGTAAAACTGCTTTGTAAAATACCTGCGCTTATGTGCCAATCCCAACAACAAACATAATCTAACACAAACGTAGAGGAAACTTTTGTCGAGGAACGCACGATAGTAGTCCATGAAGGTTTGAACATAAACACAGATGAACTGTAAATCCACAATAATACCTACCAGTACTGATGTATCCCAATGAACTACTCAACTACAGTTACTACATAATATTATTACATAAAAAAACCAAAAACAAACAATAATAGATATTGACTTTTAAAATATAACAATTAAATTTTGTTAAACCAAACGAATCATGTGTATATTCTAAAAAGACGCCTACCGAGTACCTAAAATGCCCATTAACCATTAATAACCACCTACTACTATTATTTAAAACTTGCTATAGCCTGTTGTCATATAAGCTTATTAGTGCAAATTAATTGAAAATTTAAATGCTTCTACGTACCTGAATACAAGAGTAGAAGGCCTTTTTACTGCACGCAGTTACACAGCTTGATTCACCTCAGGTAAGTTTTCAAAGAGTTTTCCTTTTGTAATATGTATGTATATTATGTTTGTCTGTTTAGCCTTCGTTTATTTCACAAACATGCTAAAAGCAAATGAAAAAAATATCTATTAATCATAAGTTTCTTCGCTGTCAGACTGTTATAATTATTAAAAATTGCAATTGCTTGGTTTTATGAAGCTTATAAACATTGTTAGTGTATTGTCTTAATAGCACCTCAAAGAAATGCCGACATTGTCATTGTTTAATTACATTACATTCGCAGAAACCACAACCACAAAAGTGGAAAAACAGTTCATACAGCAACAACAAGAACAAGAACAAGCACTAGAACAAATAATAGGTCAAGAACAACAAGAACATATACAGGCTGAACAAACAGTGCATAGGAAAACCAAAACTAAAAAGCATAAGAAACATACAGAAATAATACAACAAGAACAAAAACAACAACAAGAAACGAGAGAAACTTTTGAGAAGCAGAGAGAAACCTTTGCAGAGGAGTCAAACACAGAAGCTCCAATAGTTGAGACACTCGAGCAAATTGAAGAGCTACTGGCATATAGTACAAAACTATCTACCCAAAATCTATCACAGAGCGCACATGAAACAATCCCAGTTTCAGTAACTACAGAACTTTCTACACCAACACCGAAAGCGGCACAAGTACAAAATGAACTTTTAGCGCACAAGACTTTAGCTGTGAATGAGGAGTGTTTAGCGTTTGATGAGGTTAGTTCCAGTTTGGATCGGTCCACCCCGGCGACTAGTGAGCTTACCGAGCAGGTTGAAGTTCGTGAAAGACATGCAGCTTCTATTACTGAGATGCAGACAAAAGAAACTCACAAAGAGTTGAAATCTTCCAAAATACCCAAGCTTGTACAAGCTGATCGTAAAATTAAAGAATCGCGTCCATTGCTTATTGAAACACCAAGCATCGCTGATTCTTTAGGTGAGCTGGAGTCGTTAAAGGCTCCCACGCAGCAAGCACATGGCGAGATTCTATACTCTCATGAGCTTACCTCGGAACAGCAGTCAACGTTGGATACAGTCGAAAGCTTTAAAACTCTGTCAATCGATATGGAAAAGGCACACCCACAATTCCTTGAAAAAGAAGGTCTTCTGATTACTGAATCTTTTAGAGGTGAGACTGTAGATAAGGAATCACCAAAAATAATGCCAAATATTGAGCAGGTGTCTCCAAAGTTAACTTCAAGTCATAGCCTTGGCGTTAGTGAGTGGCAACCAGAAGACTCTATAAGGGACATCAAACCAGCAGAAGGGGTACGCGCTGAGAGCACATCAATGTCAATACAAGAGTTTAAAGCATTCAGCACTAGTGAAACCAGGTTATTAGAAAGCGAAGAAGAAATCAGCGCAGGATACAAGCCCACAAAGTCTACAGCAGAAATTTCAATTAAGCCCGAAGAGAGACCGCTTGTTGTGCAGGAAGTTGAAATATTGGAGTCACTTAGTGATGAAAAACCTTTAAAACACCGGCACATTGAGCTTCAGGCTGTAAAGCAATTGGTATTATTGGAAGGCCTAGTAAATACGACATCAGAAGCACGCAGTCCTATTGAAGAGAGTTTGCCAATATTCAAGACTGAATCCCACAAAGCAACATCGAGCCTGGAGACCCTATCACATATTATTACTCAGGAGACTGTCTTTAACGAAGATGGACCACAGAATTTAGCTTTAGAAAAAAATCCCAAAATCATAGGTGCCACATCAAGCCAAACCAGCTCTCTCACTGTTGGTGAAACTCAAGAGATGCAATTGGTGGAAAATACGGAAAATCTGAATGAGCCAACAATAGAGCCTGTTAAGCCCGCGAAGAAAACTTTAACTAGGGGCCTAGAGACCGTCGTAGGTAATCAGGAATCAGTATATGATACCCTTGAGTCTATAGAGCAACCGTGCTCTGAGTTGAATGAAGGAAAAGTAAATATTACAGAAGGCGAACTGGTTGCAGAAGTGCACACACAAACTGCTATCGACTCGGAGCAGATACTCTTGTCTGAGGCACCTGATACAGCGAAGGCGAAGCTGAATTTCATTGAACAGAAGGCATTGGATGTTAAACAGGAAACTGGGGCTGAGAAAGAAAACAGTCTTTTCCCAGAAATACAAATACTTGAGCAGGCCGCGATGGAAAAAATAATCCCTGCTGAGCTGAAGGTAAGCAGTATATGGGAAGTGCAGCCTCAATTTACACCTGCTGATATTCAAAGTGATAAAGTTAAGCCAGCAACAGCTAGTCAAGGTTTTGAGTCAAAGCCAGTTGGACTGACAAGTGAACAAAAATCGCTTAAGGGAACAGATTATCTAAAACTACAACAACAGCCCGAACTCAAGTCTGGAAGAATACTTATGGGTGAAAATCAGCAGCCGTTAGAAGTAACTGCTGTGCAGGTTATTGAAAGCTCCGAACTTATCGAATCAGCTCCACACCAATTAGAGTCAAAAGCTCAAACAACAACAGATACATTTAATCATGCTGAGCATATGATTGTGACAATTTTGGAGTCGACCAAGGAACATGCGACTGAAAGCAAGCCAACTGCGGCACTAGCAGATTTTACAATGCCAACTCAAATTGGAACTGATATAACGGAACAAGCCTTACTGGAAACGTTACAGTCTCATCAGCAGTCAGCACAGCCCCACCAGCAAATATCAGAAACAAACTTTGACCTTCTGCAGCCCTTAGATACAAGCTCTGTTTTCACTCTAGAACAGGAAAAAGCCTTGCAGTCAGATGAATACAATGTAACTCAAAATGCTGCAATAGAAACAGTCAGACCCTTACAAGTGCCAAATAAATCAAGCTCCCAGCATTTGGAATCGGTGCAAGAACTTGGTGAGAAAACTCAACCATCTGAACACCAAGCTCTAGTCAATATTGGGGAAATTACAATACCTGAATGTGAAGAGGTTGCGTCATTGGATGCCGTAAAAGATTACTTAGCACCACCTTTAATTGAATCTTTTATAACTAACATGCAAATCATTGAAAACACATCATCTTTGAATACGACTACAGCTATCGTAAGTGAAGAAACAGGGAAAATTGAAGAGCCAATCATACTTCATCAAGTTGGTATTTCACCAAAACTAACTGACTTTACCAAAAAATCACCGCTCTTAGAAGAGCCGAATGTTTTGGAACATGCAGCAAATCTTAGCACTTTTAGTCCAACATTAGAAACTAGACAGCCTACATTCAGCAGTTTTGACGAAATTCATGTGCAGGAAACGAAAGCATTTGAGAAAGAGGTTGCACTAGAAGATATCTGTCAGCCAATTAAGCAGTTAGTTAAATTCTCACTTGATTCTACAACTGGTATAGTGTTGAGCCAACGGGAGAATACTTTCGAATTGGAACGTAATCTAGAGGTGCCATCTATTTCATTCGAGCAAGCAAAATGTGTTGAATCGGAATTATTAAAGTTGCCGTTGACGGAAGGAGTGGAGGAAAATCAGTCAGCTGGAGATCTGGCATGCTTCACAGCATCAAACAATTTTGCAAAGTCAAGCATTGATGTTTTAACGGAAACAACGACCACCGAAGCCATAGTTTATGATAACATTTTAACACCTAAAGCTGTTGATCAACCCAAATGTATAAGCTCTCAGTCTATAATTCCTCATGAACATAAAATGATCAGTGAGTGTATGCTCATTGGAGAAGTTGAAGAATTTATGAAGACACAAGAAAAACAAAGAACTGCTAAGACCACTCGGGATACTTTAAGCCAATCAGCTATAAAAGAGGATCAAAATACGCTAGAAGCCGAATTATCATTCGATACAGAACGGGCACAGGAATTTAAAGCAAAGGTTAGCGAGGCCTTTCCAGCTCTTTACACCAAAGGGGTCAATGAAATTGAGGTGTATGAAACGATTAGTGAAACGAAGCCTAGTGAGACATTAAATAAGCAAGAAGCTGGAATTTCCCATTCATCGAGTTATGCTCCAATTATAAATCTTCAACAAACTATAGAAAGTGCGGGAAACTTTCTTTCCGTGGCCCAAGCCAGCTCAGCTGCTAAATCAAGTGATAATGCCTGCCAATTAAAATTGCCTGTTAATACTTCAATACAAACAGTTGAGGACGCTAAAGAATTTATTACATCAACATCGACGGAGACAGCTGCTCAACCTAACTTGGAGGGACACCATTTTGAAGTAACGGTAATGGATACTCACTACGTGGAGGATGCAGAATCCATATCTCCCTACGATAAACTAGCTACGAAGGCAACAGAATCTATAAATAACAAATTTAAAGCTACTTCAGAATCAGAGGAAGTCCACATATATCAAAAGGAGACGGTCATACAGTCAACACAATCTGAGGGGGTCATTGCAAAGCCTGGATTAAGCGATATTCTTCAGTACACAACAACAACTGATACAATGCCCTATGAATTATTAGAGACTATTAAAAATGCCGAATCTAATACACAGAAAGCTCAAGTACATCCCTTTATACCGACTAGCGCCAACAAACTAAACGTTCAAATTGATGATCTCATCCTGCAAAAAGAGGATACGTTCTTGAACACTCATCAAATAGCTTATGGTAAACCCTTTATTGAAGGAGCACAAAGTAAAATGCAAATCTGCGAAGTCATACCTATTGAAAATATTGATAGCTTAGATGTACCGAAAATGACGGCTCAAGAGTCGACAAGGATTGTAACCAGTACACCCGAAACACACAAGACTGTATCGGAAGTTGCGGTGTATGAAAAGGCAGATGAATTGAAATATGAGCGCCCAAAAGAAGGTCACGGCACCAAACTCGGCGATTCCGATACCAAATGTGCTAACGTCACAACAATACAAACTGGTTTTATTAAAGAAGGTGATATGGCTCCCATGTCATTTATTAAAAATAATGTTCACGTTTCTAACACGGAGATGGAATCATTGGTAACTGAGGAAGTCATTAGCGTAAGTTCCATACAAGAAAGTTACGACCTTCGAGTGCCTATAGAAGTGAACGCTAATTTAACATGTGAATCTACTAATAAGGCTGCAACTATTACGGAACAGTTAGTCTATGAAGAATCTCCTAATATTAATGTTGAGAAAAGCAAGTGCTTAACGCCAAAACTAAATTTTGTAGAAAGCTCTATAAAACCAGTTCAATCATCCACGGTAAGCGTATTCGAAAATATTGAAGGACATGGTGACTTCAATCCACAGAATGCACAACCAACATCAGATATTTCAACAGACTTGAGCATTTCGGTTGTTGAAGAGGTATCTGTTATATCTTCCTTAGATAGTATTTCAAAGGTAGTGCATACAAAGGCAAAAGCGATCGAAGATCACGTAACACATAAGAATCTACTTGTTACTAAGCAAGAGCCCATTGCAAATGTTCAACATTTATTGGAGGATACGATTCCAGCTTTGCAGTGTGCGAGTTACGCCACTACGGATGCAAAAGTTGCACCTCTGTACTGTGAGCTTCAGGTAAAGGAAACTATTCTTGAAACAAGCAGCTCTAAAGTAGATTTGGAACATGCAAAGCCTTCAATACTGCCATACAGCTCGAGTCTCAGCCAACAGACAATTACAGAAGAACAAGTCACAACACTACATATGAAAAACCAAACACTGCCCACAAATGCAAATATAAGCTATGAAACGAACACTAAAAATCAAGTTGATATATTAAATTTAGCAGCAAATCAAAATCTTATATATGATCTGGAAATGCCTACAATAGAGGAAAGAGAGAATGCTTTGCAAAACAAATTACCTGTACCTGACAATGTAAATGTTCTTTTGCCTCTTGAGGCTGCACCTATCAATGATGCACAATATACGGTAATACCGAAAAATGATAAATCACAAACTGACTTGGAGTTACATTCTGAGCCAAAATTGCAATCTACACAACTATCTGAATACGAAAGCTTAAGTACAAATATATTAAATCAAACGGTAAAATCACACCCGGGTAAGTACTATGTAAGGTTAACTTTAAGCAATTCAACAGAAAAAGGCGTATTACTTCCAATACTACTTGTCCCCCGATCTACAAAACACATATTACACAAAACAATAACCAAAATACAAACCGAATTAAGACTAAAAGCATATTTTTTACACAGATACAAAACAAGCCACTGACACAAAACACACACAACATAAGACACCAACACAAATTAAAGAAACACATGAAGTTGAGATAACGGAGATTCCCGAAACTATACAAATTGTTGAAAAACTCACCAAAGATGGTCAAAAGAAGAAAAAAATCATACGCACACGTGTAATAAAGAAGGTTAAGGGCGACAAGCAAGAAATCACCAAGATTGAAACCATCGAAGAGGACAACAAACAGCCCGAGACAATTGTCACAGTAGAAGAAGCTCCCATATATCAAAGAGAGCCTGAACAAATCAGCGAACTTCCGGAAGAGGTTCACATTGTTGAAACAGTAGCCGAAGACGGCAAGCTGAAAAAGAAGAAGACCCGCACACGTGTTATCAAAAAGGTTAAGGGTGACAAACAAGAAGTCACCAAGATTGAAACCATTGAAGAGGATGACAAACAACCCGAGACAACTGTAACAGTGGAAGAGATTCCTGTGGAAGAAGAACAACCTGAAGAAATCAAGGAGCTTCCAGAGGAGGTTCGTGTGGTTGAAACAGTAACCGAAGACGGCAAGCCTAAGAAGAAGAAGATACGCACACGTGTTATCAAGAAGGTTAAGGGCGACAAACAAGAAGTCACCAAGATTGAAACCATCGAAGAGGATGACAAACAACCAGAGACAACTGTCACAGTGGAAGAGATTCCTGTGAAAGAAGAACAACCTGAACAAATCCAGGAGCTTCCGGAAGAGGTTCGTGTGGTTGAAACAGTAACCGAAGACGGCAAGCCTAAGAAGAAGAAGATTCGCACACGTGTTATCAAGAAGGTTAAGGGCAACAAACAAGAAGTCACCAAGATTGAAACCATCGAAGAGGATGACAAACAACCAGAGACAACTGTTACAGTGGAAGAGATTCCTGTGGAAGAAGAACAACCTGAACAAATCCAGGAGCTTCCAGAAGAGGTTCGTGTTGTTGAAACAGTAACCGAAGACGGCAAGCCTAAGAAGAAGAAGATACGCACTCGTGTTATCAAGAAGGTTAAAGGTGACAAACAAGAAGTCACCAAGATTGAAACAATCGAAGAGGATGACAAACAACCCGAGACAACTGTCACAGTGGAAGAGATTCCTGTGGAAAAGGAGCAGCCTGAACAAATCCAGGAGCTTCCGGAAGAGGTTCGTGTGGTTGAAACAGTAACCAAAGACGGCAAGCCTAAGAAGAAGAAGATACGCACACGTGTTATCAAGAAGGTTAAGGGCGACAAACAAGAAGTCACCAAGATTGAAACAATCGAAGAGGATGACAAACAACCCGAGACAACTGTCACAGTGGAAGAGATTCCTGTGGAAGAAGAACAACCTGAAAAAATCCAGGAGCTTCCAGAAGAGGTTCGTGTTGTTGAAACAGTAACCGAAGACGGCAAGCCTAAGAAGAAGAAGATACGCACTCGTGTTATCAAGAAGGTTAAAGGTGACAAACAAGAAGTCACCAAGATTGAAACCATCGAAGAGGATGACAAACAACCCGAGACAACTGTCACAGTGGAAGAGATTCCTGTGAAAGAAGAACAACCTGAACATATCCAGGAGCTTCCGGAAGAGGTTCGTGTGGTTGAAACAGTAACCGAAGACGGCAAGCCCAAGAAAAAGAAGATTCGCACACGTGTTATCAAGAAGGTTAAGGGTGACAAACAAGAAGTCACCAAGATTGAAACCATCGAAGAGGATGACAGGCCAACAGAGACAACTGTCACAGTGGAAGAGATTCCTGTGGAAGAAGAACAGCCTGAAAACATCCAGGAGCTTCCAGAAGAGGTTCGTGTTGTTGAAACAGTAACCGAAGACGGCAAGCCTAAGAAGAAGAAGATACGCACTCGTGTTATCAAGAAGGTTAAAGGTGACAAACAAGAAGTCACCAAGATTGAAGCCATCGAAGAGGATGACAAACAACCCGAGACAACTGTCACAGTGGAAGAGATTCCTGTGGAAGAAGAACAACCTGAACAAATCCAGGAGCTTCCAGAAGAGGTTCGTGTTGTTGAAACTGTAACCGAAGACGGCAAGCCTAAGAAGAAGAAGATACGCACGCGTGTTATAAAGAAGGTTAAGGGTGACAAACAAGAAGTCACCAAGATTGAAACCATCGAAGAGGATGACAAACAACCCGAGACAACTGTCACAGTGGAAGAGATTCCTGTGGAAGAGGAGCAGCCTGAACAAATCAGGGAGCTTCCGGAAGAGGTTCGGGTGGTCGAAAGAGTAACCGAAGACGGCAAGCCTAAGAAGAAGAAGATACGCACACGTGTTATCAAGAAGGTTAAGGGTGACAAACAAGAAATCACCAAGATTGAAACCATCGAAGAGGATGACAGGCCAACAGAGACAACTGTCACAGTGGAAGAGATTCCTGTGGAAGAAGAACAGCCTGAAAAAATCCAGGAGCTTCCGGAAGAGGTTCGTGTTGTTGAAACAGTAACCGAAGACGGCAAGCCCAAGAAGAAGAAGATACGCACACGTGTTATAAAGAAGGTTAAGGGTGACAAACAAGAAGTCACCAAGATTGAAACCATCGAAGAGGATGACAAACAACCCGAGACAACTGTCACAGTGGAAGAGTTTCCTGTGGAAGAGGAGCAGCCTGAACAAATCAGGGAGCTACCGGAAGAGGTTCGCGTGGTCGAAACAGTAACCGAAGACGGCAAGCCTAAGAAGAAGAAGATACGCACACGTGTTATCAAGAAGGTTAAGGGTGACAAACAAGAAGTCACCAAGATTGAAACCATCGAAGAGGATGACAAACAACCCGAGACAACTGTCACAGTAGAAGAGATTCCTGTGGAAGAAGAACAACCTGAACAAATCCAGGAGCTTCCAGAAGAGGTTCGTGTTGTTGAAACAGTAACCGAAGACGGCAAGCCTAAGAAGAAGAAGATACGCACACGTGTTATTAAAAAGGTTAAGGGCGACAAACAAGAAGTCACCAAGATTGAAACCATTGAAGAAGATGACAAGCAACCAGAGACAATTGTCACAGTGGAAGAGATTCCTGTGGAAGAAGAACAACCTGAACAAATCCAGGAGCTTCCGGAAGAGGTTCGGGTGGTCGAAACAGTAACCGAAGACGGCAAGCCTAAGAAGAAGAAGATACGCACTCGTGTTATCAAGAAGGTTAAGGGTGACAAACAAGAAGTCACCAAGATTGAAACCATCGAAGAGGATGACAATCAACCCGAGACAACTGTCACAGTGGAAGAGATTCCTGTGGAAGAAGAACAACCTGAACATATCCAGGAGCTTCCGGAAGAGGTTCGTGTGGTTGAAACAGTAACCGAAGACGGCAAGCCCAAGAAAAAGAAGATTCGCACACGTGTTATCAAGAAGGTTAAGGGTGACAAACAAGAAGTCACCAAGATTGAAACCATCGAAGAGGATGACAGGCCAACAGAGACAACTGTCACAGTGGATGAGATTCCTGTGGAAGAAGAACAGCCTGAAAAAATCCAGGAGCTTCCGGAAGAGGTTCGGGTGGTCGAAACAGTAACCGAAGACGGCAAGCCTAAGAAGAAGAAGATACGCACACGTGTTATCAAGAAGGTTAAGGGTGACAAACAAGAAGTCACCAAGATTGAAACCATCGAAGAGGATGACAAACAACCAGAGACAACTGTCACAGTGGAAGAGATTCCTGTGGAAGAAGAACAACCTGAACAAATCCAGGAGCTTCCAGAAGAGGTTCGTGTTGTTGAAACAGTAACCGAAGACGGCAAGCCTAAGAAGAAGAAGATACGCACACGTGTTATTAAAAAGGTTAAGGGCGACAAACAAGAAGTCACCAAGATTGAAACCATTGAAGAAGATGACAAGCAACCAGAGACAATTGTCACAGTGGAAGAGATTCCTGTGGAAGAAGAACAACCTGAACAAATCCAGGAGCTTCCGGAAGAGGTTCGGGTGGTCGAAACAGTAACCGAAGACGGCAAGCCTAAGAAGAAGAAGATACGCACTCGTGTTATCAAGAAGGTTAAGGGTGACAAACAAGAAGTCACCAAGATTGAAACCATCGAAGAGGATGACAAACAACCCGAGACAACTGTCACAGTGGAAGAGATTCCTGTGGAAGAAGAACAACCTGAACATATCCAGGAGCTTCCGGAAGAGGTTCGTGTGGTTGAAACAGTAACCGAAGACGGCAAGCCCAAGAAAAAGAAGATTCGCACACGTGTTATCAAGAAGGTTAAGGGTGACAAACAAGAAGTCACCAAGATTGAAACCATCGAAGAGGATGACAGGCCAACAGAGACAACTGTCACAGTGGATGAGATTCCTGTGGAAGAAGAACAGCCTGAAAAAATCCAGGAGCTTCCGGAAGAGGTTCGGGTGGTCGAAACAGTAACCGAAGACGGCAAGCCTAAGAAGAAGAAGATACGCACACGTGTTATCAAGAAGGTTAAGGGTGACAAACAAGAAGTCACCAAGATTGAAACCGTCGAAGAGGATGACAAACAACCCGAGACAACTGTCACAGTGGAAGAGATTCCTGTGGAAGAGGAGCAGCCTGAACAAATCAGGGAGCTTCCGGAAGAGGTTCGGGTGGTCGAAAGAGTAACCGAAGACGGCAAGCCTAAAAAGAAGAAGATACGCACACGTGTTATCAAGAAGGTTAAGGGTGACAAACAAGAAATCACCAAGATTGAAACCATCGAAGAGGATGACAGGCCAACAGAGACAACTGTCACAGTGGAAGAGATTCCTGTGGAAGAAGAACAGCCTGAAAAAATCCAGGAGCTTCCGGAAGAGGTTCGTGTTGTTGAAACAGTAACCGAAGACGGCAAGCCCAAGAAGAAGAAGATACGCACACGTGTTATAAAGAAGGTTAAGGGTGACAAACAAGAAGTCACCAAGATTGAAACCATCGAAGAGGATGACAAACAACCCGAGACAACTGTCACAGTGGAAGAGATTCCTGTGGAAGAGGAGCAGCCTGAACAAATCAGGGAGCTTCCGGAAGAGGTTCGCGTGGTCGAAACAGTAACCGAAGACGGCAAGCCTAAGAAGAAGAAGATACGCACACGTGTTATCAAGATGGTTAAGGGTGACAAACAAGAAGTCACCAAGATTGAAACCATCGAAGAGGATGACAAACAACCAGAGACAACTGTCACAGTGGAAGAGATTCCTGTGGAAGAAGAACAACCTGAACAAATCCAGGAGCTTCCAGAAGAGGTTCGTGTTGTTGAAACAGTAACCGAAGACGGCAAGCCTAAGAAGAAGAAGATACGCACACGTATTATTAAGAAGGTTAAGGGCGACAAACAAGAAGTCACCAAGATTGAAACCATTGAAGAAGATGACAAGCAACCAGAGACAACTGTCACAGTGGATGAGATTCCTGTGGAAGAAGAACAACCTGAACAAATCCAGGAGCTTCCGGAAGAGGTTCGGGTGGTCGAAACAGTAACCGAAGACGGCAAGCCTAAGAAGAAGAAGATACGCACACGTGTTATCAAGAAGGTTAAGGGTGACAAACAAGAAGTCACCAAGATTGAAACCATCGAAGAGGATGACAAACAACCCGAGACATCTGTCACAGTGGAAGAGATTCCTGTGGAAGAAGTACAACCTGAAAAAATCCAGGAGCTTCCAGAAGAGGTTCGTGTTGTTGAAACAGTAACCGAAGACGGCAAGCCTAAGAAGAAGAAGATACGCACTCGTGTTATCAAGAAGGTTAAGGGTGACAAACAAGAAGTCACCAAGATTGAAACCATCGAAGAGGATGACAAACAACCCGAGACAACTGTCACAGTGGAAGAGATTCCTGTGGAAGAAGAACAACTTGAACAAATCCAGGAGCTTCCAGAAGAGGTTCGTGTTGTTGAAACAGTAACCGAAGACGGCAAGCCTAAGAAGAAGAAGATACGCACACGTGTTATCAAGAAGGTTAAGGGCGACAAACAAGAAGTTACCAAGATTGAAACCATTGAAGAAGATGACAAGCAACCAGAGACAACTGTTACAGTGGAAGAGATTCCTGTGGAAGAAGAACAACCTGAACAAATCCGGGAGCTTCCAGAAGAGGTTCGTGTGATTGAAACAGTAACCGAAGACGGCAAGCCTAAAAAGAAGAAGATACGCACACGTGTTATCAAGAAGGTTAAGGGCGACAAACAAGAAGTCACCAAGATTGAAACCATTGAAGAAGATGGCAAGCAACCAGAGACAACTGTCACGGTGAAAGAAATTCCTGTGGAAGAAGAGCAGCCTGAACAAATCCAGGAGCTTCCGGAAGAGGTTCGCGTGGTTGAAACAGTAACCGAAGACGGCAAGCCTAAAAAGAAGAAGATACGCACACGTGTTATCAAGAAGGTTAAGGGTGACAAACAAGAAGTCACCAAGATTGAAACCATCGAAGAGGATGACAAACAACCCGAGACAACTGTCACAGTGGAAGAGATTCCTGTGAAAGAAGAACAACCTGAACAAATCCAGGAGCTTCCGGAAGAGGTTCGTGTGGTTGAAACAGTAACCGAAGACGGCAAGCCCAAGAAAAAGAAGATTCGCACACGTGTTATCAAGAAGGTTAAGGGTGACAAACAAGAAGTCACCAAGATTGAAACCATCGAAGAGGATGACAAACAACCCGAGACAACTGTCACAGTGGAAGAGATTCCTGTGGAAGAAGAACAACCTGAACAAATCCAGGAGCTTCCGGAAGAGGTTCGTGTGGTGGAAATAGTAACCGAAGACTGCAAGCACAAGAAAAAGAAGATTCGCACACGTGTTATCAAGAAGGTTAAGGGTGACAAACAAGAAGTCACCAAGATTGAAACCATCGAAGAGGATGACAAACAACCCGAGACAACTGTCACAGTGGAAGAGATTCCTGTGGAAGAAGAACAACTTGAACAAATCCAGGAGCTTCCGGAAGAGGTTCGGGTGGTCGAAACAGTAAGCGAAGACGGCAAGCCTAAGAAGAAGAAGATACGCACACGTGTTATCAAGAAGGTTAAGGGTGACAAACAAGAAGTCACCAAGATTGAAACCATCGAAGAGGATGACAAACAACCCGAGACAACTGTCACAGTGGAAGAGATTCCTGTGGAAGAAGAACAACTTGAACAAATCCAGGAGCTTCCAGAAGAGGTTCGTGTGATTGAAACAGTAACCGAAGACGGCAAGCCTAAGAAGAAGAAGATACGCACACGTGTTATTAAGAAGGTTAAGGGCGACAAACAAGAAGTTACCAAGATTGAAACCATTGAAGAAGATGACAAGCAACCAGAGACAACTGTTACAGTGGAAGAGATTCCTGTGGAAGAAGAACAACCTGAACAAATCCAGGAGCTTCCGGAAGAGGTTCGTGTGATTGAAACAGTAACCGAAGACGGCAAGCCTAAGAAGAAAAAGATACGCACACGTGTTATCAAGAAGGTTAAGGGCGACAAACAAGAAGTCACCAAGATTGAAACCATTGAAGAAGATGGCAAGCAACCAGAGACAACTGTCACGGTGAAAGAAATTCCTGTGGATGAAGAGCAGCCTGAACAAATCCGGGAGCTTCCGGAAGAGGTTCGCGTGGTTGAAACAGTAACCGAAGACGGCAAGCCTAAAAAGAAGAAGATACGCACACGTGTAATCAAGAAGGTTAAGGGTGACAAACAAGAAGTCACCAAGATTGAAACCATTGAAGAGTATGACAAGCAACCCGAGACAACTGTCACAGTGGAAGAGATTCCTGTGGAAGAAGAACAACCTGAACAGATCCAGGAGCTTCCAGAAGAGATTCGTGTTGTTGAAACAGTAACCGAAGACGGCAAGCCTAAGAAGAAGAAGATACGCACTCGTGTTATCAAGAAGGTTAAAGGTGACAAACAAGAAGTCACCAAGATTGAAACCATCGAAGAGGATGACAAACAACCCGAGACAACTGTCACAGTGGAAGAGATTCCTGTGGAAGAAGAACAACTTGAACAAATCCAGGAGCTTCCAGAAGAGGTTCGTGTTGTTGAAACAGTAACCGAAGACGGCAAGCCTAAGAAGAAGAAGATACGCACTCGTGTTATCAAGAAGGTTAAAGGTGACAAACAAGAAGTCACCAAGATTGAAACCATCGAAGAGGATGACAAACAACCCGAGACAACTGTCACAGTGGAAGAGATTCCTGTGGAAGAAGAACAACTTGAACAAATCCAGGAGCTTCCAGAAGAGGTTCGTGTTGTTGAAACAGTAACCGAAGACGGCAAGCCTAAGAAGAAGAAGATACGCACACGTGTTATCAAGAAGGTTAAGGGCGACAAACAAGAAGTTACCAAGATTGAAACCATTGAAGAAGATGACAAGCAACCAGAGACAACTGTTACAGTGGAAGAGATTCCTGTGGAAGAAGAACAACCTGAACAAATCCGGGAGCTTCCGGAAGAGGTTCGTGTGATTGAAACAGTAACCGAAGACGGCAAGCCTAAAAAGAAGAAGATACGCACACGTGTTATCAAGAAGGTTAAGGGCGACAAACAAGAAGTCACCAAGATTCAAACCATTGAAGAAGATGGCAAGCAACCAGAGACAACTGTCACGGTGAAAGAAATTCCTGTGGAAGAAGAGCAGCCTGAACAAATCCGGGAGCTTCCGGAAGAGGTTCGCGTGGTTGAAACAGTAACCGAAGACGGCAAGCCTAAAAAGAAGAAGATACGCACACGTGTTATCAAGAAGGTTAAGGGTGACAAACAAGAAGTCACCAAGATTGAAACCATCGAAGAGGATGACAAACAACCCGAGACAACTGTCACAGTGGAAGAGATTCCTGTGAAAGAAGAACAACCTGAACAGATCCAGGAGCTTCCAGAAGAGATTCGTGTTGTTGAAACAGTAACCGAAGACGGCAAGCCTAAGAAGAAGAAGATACGCACTCGTGTTATCAAGAAGGTTAAAGGTGACAAACAAGAAGTCACCAAGATTGAAACCATCGAAGAGGATGACAAACAACCCGAAACAACTGTCACAGTGGAAGAGATTCCTGTGGAAGAAGAACAACCTGAACAAATCCAGGAGCTTCCGGAAGAGGTTCGGGTGGTCGAAACAGTAACCGAAGACGGCAAGCCTAAGAAGAAGAAGATACGCACACGTGTTATTAAGAAGGTTAAGGGTGACAAACAAGAAGTCACCAAGATTGAAACCATCGAAGAGGATGACAAACAACCCGAAACAACTGTCACAGTGGAAGAGATTCCTGTGGAAGAAGAACAACCTGAACAAATCCAGGAGCTTCCGGAAGAGGTTCGGGTGGTCGAAACAGTAACCGAAGACGGCAAGCCTAAGAAGAAGAAGATACGCACACGTGTTATTAAGAAGGTTAAGGGTGACAAACAAGAAGTCACCAAGATTGAAACCATCGAAGAGGATGACAAACAACCCGAGACAACTGTCACAGTGGAAGAGATTCCTGTGGAAGAAGAACAACCTGAACAAATCCAGGAGCTTCCAGAAGAGGTTCGTGTTGTTGAAACAGTAACCGAAGACGGCAAGCCTAGGAAGAAGAAGATACGCACACGTGTTATCAAGAAGGTTAAGGGTGACAAACAAGAAGTCACCAAGATTGAAACCATCGAAGAGGATGACAAACAACCCGAGACAACTGTCACAGTGAAAGAGATTCCTGTGGAAGAAGAACAACCTGAACAAATCCAGGAGCTTCCAGAAGAATTTTGTGTTGTTGAAACAGTAACCGAAGACGGCAAGCCTAAGAAGAAGAAGATACGCACACGTGTTATTAAGAAGGTTAAGGGCGACAAACAAGAAGTTACCAAGATTGAAACCATTGAAGAAGATGACAAGCAACCAGAGACAACTGTTACAGTGGAAGAGATTCCTGTGGAAGAAGAACAACCTGAACAAATCCAGGAGCTTCCGGAAGAGGTTCGTGTGATAGAAACAGTAACCGAAGACGGCAAGCCTAAAAAGAAGAAGATACGCACACGTGTTATCAAGAAGGTTAAGGGTGATAAACAAGAAGTCACCAAGATTGAAACCATTGAAGAAGATGACAAACAACCCGAGACAACTGTCACAGTGGAAGAGATTCCTGTGGAAGAAGAACAACCTGAACAAATCCAGGAGTTTCCAGAAGAGGTTCGTGTTGTTGAAACAATAACCGAAGACGGCAAGCCTAGGAAGAAGCAGATACGCACACGTGTTATTAAGAAGGTTAAGGGCGAGAAACATGAAGTCACCAAGATTGAAACCATTGAAGAAGATGACAAACAACCAGAGACAACTGTCACAGTGGAAGAGATTCCTGTGAAAGAAGAACAACCTGAACAAATCCAGGAGCTTCCGGAAGAGGTTCGTGTGATTGAAACAGTAACCGAAGACGGCAAGCCTAAAAAGAAGAAGATACGCACTCGTGTTATCAAGAAGGTTAAGGGCGACAAACAAGAAGTCACCAAGATTGAAACCATTGAAGAAGATGACAAACAACCCGAGACAACTGTCACAGTGGAAGAGATTCCTGTGGAAGAAGAACAACCTGAACAAATCCAGGAGCTTCCAGAAGAGGTTCGTGTTGTTGAAACAGTAACCGAAGACGGCAAGCCTAGGAAGAAGAAGATACGCACACGTGTTATTAAGAAGGTTAAGGGCGAGAAACAAGAAGTCACCAAGATTGAAACCATTGAAGAAGATGACAAACAACCCGAGACAACTGTCACAGTGGAAGAGATTCCTGTGAAAGAAGAACAACCTGAACAAATCCAGGAGCTTCCGGAAGAGGTTCGTGTGGTTGAAACAGTAACTGAAGACGGCAAGCCTAGGAAGAAGAAGATACGCACACGTGTTATTAAGAAGGTTAAAGGCGAGAAACAAGAAGTCACCAAGATTGAAACCATCGAAGAGGATGACAAGCAACCAGAGTCAACTGTCACAGTGGAAGAGATTCCTGTGGAAGAAGAACAACTTGAACAAATCCAGGAGCTTCCGGAAGAGGTTCGGGTGGTCGAAACAGTAACCGAAGACGGCAAGCCTAAGAAGAAGAAGATACGCACACGTGTTATCAAGAAGGTTAAGGGTAACAAACAAGAAGTCACCAAGATTGAAACCATCGAAGAGGATGACAAACAACCCGAGACAACTGTCACAGTGAAAGAGATTCCTGTGGGACAAGAACAACCTGAACAAATCCAGGAGCTTCCAGAAGAGGTTCGTGTTGTTGAAACAGTAACCGAAGACGGCAAGCCTAAGAAGAAGAAGATACGCACACGTGTTATTAAGAAGGTTAAGGGCGACAAACAAGAAGTTACCAAGATTGAAACCATTGAAGAAGATGACAAGCAACCAGAGACGACTGTTACAGTGGAAGAGATTCCTATGGAAGAAGAACAACCTGAACAAATCCAGGAGCTTCCGGAAGAGGTTCGTGTGATTGAAACAGTAACCGAAGACGGCAAGCCTAAAAAGAAGAAGATACGCACACGTGTTATCAAGAAGGTTAAGGGCGACAAACAAGAAGTCACCAAGATTGAAACCATTGAAGAGGATGGCAAGCAACCAGAGACAACTGTCACGGTGAAAGAAATTCCTGTGGAAGAAGAGCAGCCTGAACAAATCCGGGAGCTTCCGGAAGAGGTTCGCGTGGTTGAAACAGTAACCGAAGACGGCAAGCCTAAAAAGAAGAAGATACACACACGTGTTATTAAGAAGGTTAAGGGTGACAAACAAGAAGTCACCAAGATTGAAACCATCGAAGAAGATGACAAACAACCCGAGACAACTGTCACAGTGGAAGAGATTCCTGTGGAAGAAGAACAACCTGAACAGATCCAGGAGCTTCCAGAAGAGGTTCGTGTTGTTGAAACAGTAACCGAAGACGGCAAGCCTAAGAAGAAGAAGATACGCACTCGTGTTATCAAGAAGGTTAAAGGTGACAAACAAGAAGTCACCAAGATTGAAACCATCGAAGAGGATGACAAACAACCCGAGACAACTGTCACAGTGGAAGAGATTCCTGTGAAAGAAGAACAACCTGAACAAATCCAGGAGCTTCCAGAAGAGGTTCGTGTTGTTGAAACAGTAACCGAAGACGGCAAGCCTAGGAAGAAGAAGATACGCACACGTGTTATTAAGAAGGTTAAAGGCGAGAAACAAGAAGTCACCAAGATTGAAACCATTGAAGAAGATGACAAGCAACCCGAGACAACTGTCACAGTGGAAGAGATTCCTGTGAAAGAAGAACAACCTGAACAAATCCAGGAGCTTCCGGAAGAGGTTCGTGTGATGGAAACAGTAACCGAAGACGGCAAGCCTAAAAAGAAGAAGATACGCACACGTGTTATCAAGAAGGTTAAGGGTGACAAACAAGAAGTCACCAAGATTGAAACCATCGAAGAGGATGACAAACAACCCGAGACAACTGTCACAGTGGAAGAGATTCCTGTGGAAGAAGAACAACCTGAACAAATCCAGGAGCTTCCAGAAGAGGTTCGTGTTGTTGAAACAGTAACCGAAGACGGCAAGCCTAGGAAGAAGAAGATACGCACACGTGTTATTAAGAAGGTTAAAGGCGAGAAACAAGAAGTCACCAAGATTGAAACCATTGAAGAAGATGACAAGCAACCAGAGACAACTGTCACAGTGGAAGAGATTCCTGTGGAAGAAGAACAACCTGAACAAATCCAGGAGCTTCCAGAAGAGGTTCGTGTTGTTGAAACAGTAACCGAAGACGGCAAGCCTAGGAAGAAGAAGATACGCACACGTGTTATTAAGAAGGTTAAAGGCGAGAAACAAGAAGTCACCAAGATTGAAACCATCGAAGAGGATGACAAGCAACCAGAGTCAACTGTCACAGTTGAAGAGATTCCTATGGAAGAAGTACATCCTAAACACATCCAGGAGCTTCCAGAAGAGGTTCGTGTGCTTGAAACAGTAACCGAAGACGGCAAGCCTAAGAAGAAAAAGATACGCACACGTGTTATCAAGAAGGTTAAGGGCGACAAACAAGAAGTCACCAAGATTGAAACCATCGAAGAAGATGGCAAGCAACCAGAGACAACTGTCACGGTGGAAGAAATTCCTGTGGAAAAGGAGCAGTCTGAAGTAATCCAGGAGCTTCCAGAGGAGGTTCGTGTGGTTGAAACAGTAACCGAGGATGGCAAGCCTAAGAAGAAGAAGATACGCACACGTGTTATCAAGAAGGTTAAGGGTGATAAACAAGAAGTCACCAAGATTGAAACCATTGAAGAAGATGACAAACAACCAGAGACAACTGTCACAGTGGAAGAGATTCCTGTGGAAGAAGAACAACCTGAGCAAATACAGGAGCTTCCAGAAGAGGTTCGTGTGGTTGAAACAGTATCCGAAGACGGCAAGCCTAAGAAGAAGAAGATACGCACACGTGTTATCAAGAAGGTTAAGGGTGATAAACAAGAAGTCACCAAGATTGAAACCATTGAAGAAGATGACAAACAACCAGAGACAACTGTCACAGTGGAAGAGATTCCTGTGGAAGAAGAACAACCTGAGCAAATACAGGAGCTTCCAGAAGAGGTTCGTGTGGTTGAAACAGTATCCGAAGACGGCAAGCCTAAGAAGAAGAAGATACGCACACGTGTTATCAAGAAGGTTAAGGGCGACAAACAGGAAGTCACCAAGATTGAAACCATCGAAGAAGATGGCAAGCAACCAGAGACAACTGTCACGGTGGAAGAAATTCCTGTGGAAGAGGAGCAGTCTGAAGTAATCCAGGAGCTTCCAGAGGAGGTTCGTGTGGTTGAAACAGTAACCGAGGATGGCAAGCCTAAGAAGAAGAAGATACGTACACGTGTTATCAAGAAGGTTAAGGGTGATAAACAAGAAGTCACCAAGATTGTAACCATTGAAGAAGATGACAAACAACCAGAGACAACTGTCACAGTGGAAGAGATTCCTGTGGAAGAAGAACAACCTGACCAAATACAGGAGCTTCCAGAAGAGGTTCGTGTGATTGAAACAGTAACCGAAGACGGCAAGCCTAAGAAGAAAAAGATACGCACACGTGTTATCAAGAAGGTTAAGGGCGACAAACAAGAAGTCACCAAGATTGAAACCATCGAAGAAGATGGCAAGCAACCAGAGACAACTGTCACGGTGGAAGAAATTCCTGTGGAAGAGGAGCAGTCTGAAGTAATCCAGGAGCTTCCAGAGGAGGTTCGTGTGGTTGAAACAGTAACCGAGGATGGCAAGCCTAAGAAGAAGAAGATACGCACACGTGTTATCAAGAAGGTTAAGGGTGACAAACAAGAAATAACCAAGATTGAAACCATCGAAGAGGATGACAAACAACCAGAGACAACTGTCACAGTGGAAGAGATTCCTATGGAAGAAGAACAACCTGAACAAATCCAGGAGCTTCCGGAAGAGGTTCGTGTGGTTGAAACAGTAACCGAGGATGGCAAGCCTAAAAAGAAGAAGATACGCACACGTGTTATCAAGAAGGTTAAGGGTGACAAACAAGAAGTCACCAAGATTGAAACCATCGAAGAGGATGACAAGCAACCAGAGTCAACTGTCACAGTTGAAGAGATTCCTATGGAAGAAGTACATCCTAAACACATCCAGGAGCTTCCAGAAGAGGTTCGTGTGATTGAAACAGTAACCGAAGACGGCAAGCCTAAGAAGAAAAAGATACGCACACGTGTTATCAAGAAGGTTAAGGGCGACAAACAAGAAGTCACCAAGATTGAAACCATCGAAGAAGATGGCAAGCAACCAGAGACAACTGTCACGGTGGAAGAAATTCCTGTGGAAGAGGAGAATTCTGAAGTAATCCAGGAGCTTCCAGAGGAGGTTCGTGTGGTTGAAACAGTAACCGAGGATGGCAAGCCTAAGAAGAAGAAGATACGCACACGTGTTATCAAGAAGGTTAAGGGTGATAAACAAGAAGTCACCAAGATTGAAACCATTGAAGAAGATGACAAACAACCCGAGACAACTGTCACAGTGGAAGAGATTCCTGTGGAAGAAGAACAACCTGAACAAATCCAGGAGCTTCCAGAAGAGGTTCGTGTCGTTGAAACAGTATCCGAAGACGGCAAGCCTAAGAAGAAGAAGATACGCACACGTGTTATCAAGAAGGTTAAGGGTGATAAACAAGAAGTCACCAAGATTGAAACCATTGAAGAAGATGACAAACAACCAGAGACAACTGTCACAGTGGAAGAGATTCCTGTGGAAGAAGAACAACCTGAGCAAATACAGGAGCTTCCAGAAGAGGTTCTTGTTGTTGAAACAGTAACCGAAGACGGCAAGCCTAGGAAGAAGAAGATACGCACACGTGTTATCAAGAAGGTTAAGGGTGATAAACAAGAAGTCACCAAGAATGAAACCATTGAAGAAGATGACAAACAACCAGAGACAACTGTCACAGTGGAAGAGATTCCTGTGGAAGAAGAACAACCTGAGCAAATACAGGAGCTTCCAGAAGAGGTTCGTGTGATTGAAACAGTAACCGAAGACGGCAAGCCTGAGAAGAAAAAGATACGCACACGTGTTATCAAGAAGGTTAAGGGCGACAAACAAGAAGTCACCAAGATTGAAACCATCGAAGAAGATGGCAAGCAACCAGAGACAACTGTCACGGTGGAAGAAATTCCTGTGGAAGAGGAGCAGTCTGAAGTAATCCAGGAGCTTCCAGAGGAGGTTCGTGTGGTTGAAACAGTAACCGAGGATGGCAAGCCTAAAAAGAAGAAGATACGCACACGTGTTATCAAGAAGGTTAAGGGTGACAAACAAGAAGTAACCAAGATTGAAACCATCGAAGAGGATGACAAACAACCAGAGACAACTGTCACAGTGGAAGAGATTCCTATGGAAGAAGAACAACCTGAACAAATCCAGGAGCTTCCGGAAGAGGTTCGTGTGGTTGAAACAGTAACCGAGGATGGCAAGCCTAAAAAGAAGAAGATACGCACACGTGTTTTCAAGAAGGTTAAGGGCGACAAACAAGAAGTCACCAAGATTGAAACCATCGAAGAGGATGACAAGCAGCCCGAGACAACTGTCACTGTGGAAGAGATTCCTATGGAGGAAGAATATCCTGAACAAATCCAGGAGCTTCCAGAAGAGGTTCGTGTTGTTGAAACAGTAACCGAAGACGGCAAGCCTAAGAAGAAGAAGATACGCACACGTGTTTTCAAGAAGGTTAAGGGCGACAAACAAGAAGTCACCAAGATTGAAACCATCGAAGAAGATAACAAGCAACCAGTGACAACTGTCACAGTGGAAGAGATTCCTGTGGAAGAAGAACAACCTGAACAAATCCAGGAGCTTCCGGAGGAGGTTCGTGTGGTTGAAACAGTAACCGAAGACGGCAAGCCTAAGAAGAAGAAGATACACACACGTGTTATCAAGAAGGTTAAGGGTGACAAACAAGAAGTCACCAAGATTGAAACCATCGAAGAAGATGACAAACAACCCGAGACAACTGTCACAGTGGAAGAGTTTCCTGTGGAAGAAGAACAGCCTGAAAAAGTCCAGGAGCTTCCGGAAGAGGTTCGGGTGGTCGAAACAGTAACCGAAGACGGCAAGCCTAAGAAGAAGAAGATACGCACACGTGTTATTAAGAAGGTTAAGGGTGACAAACAAGAAGTAACCAAGATTGAAACCATCGAAGAGGATGACAAGCAGCCCGAGACAACTGTCACAGTGGAAGAGATTCCTATGGAGGAAGAACATCCTGAACAAATCCAGGAGCTTCCGGAAGAGGTTCGTGTTGTTGAAACAGTAACCGAAAACGGCAAGCCTAAGAAGAAGAAGATACGCACACGTGTTATCAAGAAGGTTAAGGGTGACAAACAAGAAGTCACCAAGATTGAAACAATCGAAGAGGATGACAAACAACCCAAAACAACTGTCACAGTGGAAGAGATTCCTGTGGAAGAAGAACAACCTGAACAACTCCAGGAGCTTCCGGAGGAGGTTCGTGTGGTTGAAACAGTAACCGAAGACGGTAAGCCTAAGAAGAAGACGATACGCACACGCGTTATTAAGAAGGTTAAGGGCGACAAACAAGAAGTCACCAAGATTGAAACCATCGAAGAGGATGACAAGCAGCCCGAGACAACTGTCACAGTGGAAGAGATTCCTATGGAGGAAGAATATCCTGAACAAATCCAGGAGCTTCCGGAAGAGGTTCGTGTGGTTGAAACAGTAACCGAAGACGGCAAGCCTAAGATGAAGAAGATACGCACACGTGTTATCAAGAAGGTTAAGGGTGACAAACAAGAAGTCACCAAGATTGAAACAATCGAAGAGGATGACAAAAAACCCGAGACAACTGTCACAGTGCAAGAGATTCCTGTGGAAGAAGAACAACCTGAACAAATCCAGGAGCTTCCAGAAGAGGTTCGTGTTGTTGAAACAGTAACCGAAGACGGCAAGCCTAGGAAGAAGAAGATACGCACACGTGTTATTAAGAAGGTTAAAGGCGAGAAACAAGAAGTCACCAAGATTGAAACCATCGAAGAGGATGACAAACAACCCAAAACAACTGTCACAGTGGAAGAGATTCCTGTGGAAGAAGAACAACCTGAACAAGTCCAGGAGCTTCCGGAAGAGGTTCGTGTGGTTGAAACAGTAACCGAAGACGGCAAGCCTAAGAAGAAGAAGATTCGCACACGTGTTATCAAGAAGGTTAAGGGTGACAAACAAGAAGTCACCAAGATTGAAACAATCGAAGAGGATGACAAGCAGCCCGAGACCACTGTCACAGTGCAAGAAATTCCCATGGAGGAAAAACAACCTGAACAAATCCGGGAGCTTCCGGAAGAGGTTCGTGTTGTTGAAACAGTAACCGAAGACGGCAAGCCTAAGAAGAAGAAGATACGCACACGTGTTATCAAGAAGCTTATGGGTGACAAACAAGAAGTAACCAAGATTGAAACCATCGAAGAGGATGACAAGCAGCCCGAGACAACTGTCACAGTGCAAGAGATTCCTGTGGAAGAAGAACAACCTGAACAAATCCAGGAGCTTCCGGAAGAGGTTCGTGTGGTTGAAACAGTAACCGAAAACGGCAAGCCTAAGAAGAAGAAGATACGTACACGTGTTATCAAGAAGGTTAAGGGTGACAAACAAGAAGTCACCAAGATTGAAACCATCGAAGAGGATGACAAGCAGCCCGAGACGACTGTCACAGTTGAAGAGATTCCTATGGAGGAAGAACATCCTGAACAAATCCAGGAGCTTCCGGAAGAGGTTCGTATTGTTGAAACAATAACAGAAGATGGCAAGCCTAAAAAGAAGAAGATACGCACACGTGTTATCAAGAAGGTTAAGGGTGACAAGCAAGAAGTCACCAAGATTGAAACCATCGAAGAAGATGACAAGCAGCCACAGACAACTGTCACAGTGGAAGAGATTCCCATGGAAGAAAAACAACCTGAACAAATCCAGGAGCTTCCGGAAGAGGTTCGTGTGGTTGAAACAGTAACCGAAGACGGCAAGCCTTCGAAGAAGAAGATACGCACACGTGTTATCAAGAAGGTTAAGGGTGACAAACAAGAAGTCACCAAGATTGAAACCATCGAAGAGGATGACAAGCAACCCGAGACAACTGTCACAGTTGAAGAGATTCCTATGGAGGAAGAATATCCTGAACAAATCCAGGAGCTTCCGGAAGAGGTTCGGGTTGTTGAAACAATAACCGAAGACGGCAAGCCTTCGAAGAAGAAGATACGCACACGTGTTATCAAGAAGGTTAAGGGCGACAAGCAAGAAGTCACCAAGATTGAAACCATCGAGGAAGATGAAAAGCAGCCCGAGACAACTGTCACGGTGGAAGAGATTCCTGTGGAAGAGGAGCAGCCTGAACAAATCCAGGAGCTTCCGGAAGAGGTGCGAGTAGTTGAAACAATAACCGAAGACGGCAAGCCTAAGAAGAAGAAGATACGCACACGGGTCATTAAGAAGGCTAAGGGCGATAAACAGGAAATCACTAAAATTGAAACGGTTGAAGAAGAAGATAAAAAGCCTGAAACAACAATAACAATAGAAGAAGCCAAAAGTCCATTTGGGGAAAAAATAAGTTTAAAGAAAAGAATTGTTGTTCCTAAGCCTGATGATGATGTTACTGTTGTTGAATTACCGGAAAGAAAATCAGTAATTCTTTCTGAAAAATATGATGGTACTCCAATCAAGACGGTTATTAAAACTAAAATTATAAAAAAAGTTCAAGGGTCGAACATGGAAGTTACCAAAGTTCAAACTGTCGATGAATATGAAAAACCAATTCAGACAAAGGTTACAGTTGAGAATTACCAAGCTCCTTTTCCAGATCTTCCGGAAGAAAAGTTCACAGAAGTTGTTGTTTTACCAGAGATAGTCGTTAATGAGGAAGTTGTTGATGCAGATGGCTTACAAAAAGTTATAAAATCTAAAAAGCGGGTCATAAAGAAACCCAAAGACGAATTTAAGGAAGAAGTAACGGAAATTGATATTACTGAACAAGATTCAGGAGAGCCCATTTATAAAATAACTGTCAATGAACTTCCATTTACGGAGCCTACTCAAACTGATAATAAGTCAGTTGAGTTACCAGAACAAGTAACTGAGCTAGAAGTCGTTTCTCCCGATGGAACAAAGAAGAAGAAAATTGTTAAGACAAGAACATTTAAAACAAAAATTGATGACAATCATGATGAAGTCACTACAGTTAATACTGTTGAAGAGGAAAATATGAAACCAATAACTAGTGTGCATGTTGAAATTGTCCCAGTCGATGAAACTTCTACATTGCCCATTCCTATTGAGGAGTTGCCAGAAGAAATTGTTTATACTGAGGAAATTGCAGATAATAAGAAGCCAAGAAAAAAGAAAACCAAAACTCGAACATTCAAAAAACAAGGTCTTGAGGATGAAGAATATTACCAAATACAAACTATTGAAGAAGAAGGCAAAGAGCCTTATTCACTTATACGCGTTGTTAGTGATGAAAGCATTGCCGACATTATTGATATTAGTAAACTCGATGATGAACAACTTCCTAAACACAAAAAACCAAAGCCACACAAACAGAGGGGTAAGAACACAAATCACAACACTATACTTACACCACATTTTACACAAGAGTTAAAAATGAAGAATACGCAAAATACATTTTATATAAGTAATTTATTATTAAAGGGGAGGCGCCGCCACTTAAAAACGCTTCCTTTTTTTTAAATATTTAATTTATTTAGCTAATACGCTGAAACTTAAGTATTAAATTTAAATGTTATCTTTGAAAAAATGTTAAACCTTAAGTTACATATCTGGACTGTTAATAACAAATTTTTCTAATCATTCCATATTAATCAAAATACATACCAAAACATAAACACAGCGGAGAAACAACAACCCGAACACACTGAAACGGAACACCCAGTTTACATAACTACATTCAAATCTGTACAAAGTGAAGATGGCGAAACCCAAATTCAAACTGAAATTAAAAGAGTTTGTCAAGAGGAAGGCATCGTTGTTGAGGAAATGCTAAGTGACACTGAACCCGTTACGGAAGACACTACACAATCAAATATTGAAATTGTCGAAGTCAGCGAGCCTACAGGTGATTTTCTTAAAATATTTTCTAACTCACATACATACAAAAACATGCATATTACGGCGAACAATTCTCGTAGTACAAACATGTTATTAGAATTAAGCAAAAGTTCTCAAATTCGTCTTCAAAAGATTAAAATTAACTTGTCCAGGTACTTGATTTGAGATTGCGATTAAAACGTTATGAATCAAAGCGAAAAAAGTAGCTAAAAATTTAGTAACACAAACATAAAATTTACACTGAAAAACACGAAATTCTGTTTGAACACTTTTGGCACTATAATTACTAACAAGATTGACTAGAAAACTTATAGTTACATAAGTATTCTAGTACATTGTATGTACTCAGGTTGTATTTGTACAATAAAAAAAGCGTAATATGTACATTACAGACATTGATCAACATTTTAGTTAACATTATATGCAAGCATCTTAAACACTTAACTTTATAAACTACAAAGTTGATGTGTTTTAACGCATTATAAAAAATGCAAATATAATTTTAACAAATTAGTTTAGTGCTAACACACAAACACATAATTTTTTCTCAAACAGACCAATACAACAAAGAGTACACTATCACAGAACCCGAAGATGCAAGTGCAAATAACACCGTACATACACAGACAAAAGTTAAAAAGCCCAAACAGAAAAAGACACAACCACATCAATTTGAACAGATTGACGAGACTGGGGAAGTTGAGGGGGGTGCAGGGGAACCTGCTTATAAAATTGTTGAAAGTATATCAGATGACGTTCAGGTTGAGAAAAGTACGGAGGAGAAACCAGGGCCTGGACCAGCTGAGAAAAAAGAGAAACCAAAGAAGAAGAAGGTGATAAAGCCGAAAAGGGATGAGATGGATGATTATATACAGTTCCTGATACACCAGGAAATACCGAAAACGGTGTTACAGCCGTATGTACGAACTGAAATGGAACATCCACAAAGGGCTCGCCGTGACTCGTCTATAAAACCAATGAAGTTAACTCCTATAAAAATTGAGAAAATTGAGGTTAAGAAACCCAAAATGATTGAAATAAGCTCAGTGGTTGAATTTCCGCAAATGCTCAAGCTCAAAACTCCGAAACAACGTCCACAGGAAGAAAAGAAAAGAAGATCTAGCGAAGCCTCATTTAAAAATAAAAAACTTAAGAGTTGGATAAGGTTTATACCTTACGCACCATATTGCTTTCCTTATACGGTTATTGATATAGAAACTAAGCGAGATAATGGTGAGCTTTCTCGAAATATAGAAGAAGCAGAGGAAGTATTGAAGAAGCGTCCAAAGAAATTCAAGCATACTAAGCCTGTTAAAGCTGATCTCGAAGAATTGGATTTGGAAACATTTGAAGATGCGAGCAAGCCGTTAGATGAAACTAAGGACAAACCAAAGTATAAACGAGGTAAAAAGGACAAACATGAAAACGAAGAGGAACATAGAAAATTGAAGATTGGTAAGGGTAAACTTCCAGAAAATGTTGATTCCCAAGAAACAGTTGAATTGAAGCCAGTAACTTTGGATGATAAGCCTCAAGTTGTAGCTGAAACACCAAAGGACAAAACTAAAGAAAAGAAAACGATAAAGAAGGTAAGGAAATCGAGTGACACCGATGATAAACTTGGTTTCGAGCCCCTTTTGAGTGATGACGACACTGCAGAAAAAGAAAGCAACCCGTTCTTCAAATTTGAGGTCATTGAATTAGAGCCCAAGGAAATGCTAGAGGAATTAAGTGATGCTAACCTGCCTGAAAAAGAACCCAAGAAGAAACGTAAATTAAAGCTTAAAACAGAATTAGAAGAAAATCTTGTTGAGATAGTTGAAATTTCTCCACTTGACAGCAATGATAAGCAGTATGAAGTTACCGTAACTAGTTCAGAGACTAATGAGTATCAGCCAAAGGAAAAGAAGATAATCAAAAAAAAAGTTAAGCGTATGAATAAAAAGGAGTTGGATGACTTTATCACAGAGCTTAAGGATGAGCCTGATCAAGCATTCTATGAAACCGCCATGACTGATTTCTTCGAAGTGAAGTTGATTGAACTGGAACCTGAAGAGATTCCTGATGATAATGTATCTCAAAAAACTAAAAAGCGTAGAATTTTGCATAAGCGTGGAGAAACAGAAGAGGTTTTAGAAATTGTTGAAACTGTTCCTTCATCCGGCGAGGAGCCATTCTATGAAATATCAATCAAATCAACTGAACCAGAAGAGGAAACTGATACTCAAAAGCCAATTGAAAGGCCAAAACCAAGAACTAAGAAAATGAAAAAGGTTGATCTAGATGCGTATATACAGCAGCTGATAAATGCCGAGATTCCAATAACTGAACTTGAGAAGTATGAAAAAACTGAAATAGATTCCAAGCCGAAGAAACCAAAGAAGCATAAGATCAAACAACCTAAGGCCCATATCGATGAAGGTGAAGCTTTTGAAGTGGGTATCGTACAGGAAGAACCAATTAAGAAACCAAAGGTCAAGAAACCCAAGCCTCAACCAAAACTTGAAGATGAATCAGTAACTGAACCTGAAAGTGTTACTGAGCACAAAGAGTTTACAATTAGCATGATTGACTCACAGCCCATTCCAGAGAAAATTGTGGAAGAGATAGTTAAGGCAGCTGCCCTTGACCTAGACGAAATTATATCAAACATCGGTGAATCCCTCCCTATCATAGAATTGGAGAAACTTACCGAGACCGTCCCTCAACCTACTGAAGAAGTTGAAAGCTCGGAAATCAAAATAATTAAAAAACGCAAAGTGAAAACTAGAAAGGGTTCCAAGCAGTATGAAGTACAAATCGTGGAAACTATAGCACCGGACGATGATCATGCAGAAGCAAAGGTTGTTGTTATAACAACTGAAATCGTTAAAGACAATACTGATGTACCAATCGAAGAGCAAGCAGAAACTCCAAAGAAAACTATAAGAAAGGTGAAAAAAGATAAGCTCAAAGAATATATAGTCAGCATTATTGATGAGGCCTCAACAGAACTTTTAGCCAAAATTTCTGAGGACGTGTCCCCTGTGGCAGAAGTGGAACCTTTAGAAGATAAAGATATCACAAGTTTTAAAACTACAGTAGTTGACGATGTTACCGAAGATAATGTTAAGCCAGAAGAGGAATCGGTTGACAGTCCAACAGGCAAGCCAAAGGATAAAAAGAAGAAAGCAGCTAAATCGAAAAAGGTTACAGTAATTGAAGAGCAGCCAGTTCAGGGTAAAGACAGCACTGAGGGAGAAGAATATCCTAGTAAGGATGTGGAAACATCAAAATCATCGTCGCACGATGAATATTCAGTTGAGATAACAGAAGTAGCGCCAAAGTCTAAGAAAAAGGTGCCGAAGAATAAACTTGAGCAGCCCATGCCTGTCCCGATATCGGAACACAAAGTTCGTCTTGAGGAACTCGCACCTGAAACAACAACCGAACAAGTTACTAACGAACAAGGAGAAGAGGTTGAAAGGGTTACAACTAAGCGAAGACTTAAAAAGAAGGAAGGTCCAAAGGAATATCTAATTGAAGTTGTCGAAACATACGAAGAAAATAAGCCCGAGGCAGAATTGGTTATTCAGACTATAGAAATAACACCAGAATCAGACTCTCAAGCACCTGAAGATCACAAAATTAAAATTGTGAAAAAGAAAAAACCCAAAGAGGAAAAAATTGACACTTATATTCAACAGTTAATTGAAGAAGAAGTTCCGAAAACAGAGCTTGATGTCTACGAAACAACCGAATTGGAATCAACCCCGGAGTCAAAGAAACCGAAGAAGATAAAGAAACACCATAAGAAAACCACCGAAATAGTTGATGGTATTCCACATACTGTACATGAATTTACCATTCAAGAGTTCGAGCCAGATGCAGAGCTAGTGCCCGAAACCATCACAGAAATTGAGGATGATATAACCCCGAAAACACAGATAGAGGATTACGAAATAGAGGTATCAGATGAACAGCCTAAACGTAAGCCGAAGAAAGATAAGAAATCAAAGGTGGTGGTGGTCGACCAAGAACCAGTCCATATTGAAGACATTGGGGAAACTGTAGAAGTTACTAAGTTAGTTGAAGACGATGGCACAACAAAAGAAGTTCAAGTAAAGAAGCGTAAGATCGTTCGCAAGCAAGGTCCAAAGGAACATGTTTTTGAAATAACAGAGACATCAAATAATGATGAGCCTTTGGCCGAAGTTACCATAATTGATATTACAGAAGATGAAAGGCCGACTGATACAGTTGAACCACTTACGAAACGGAAGGCACCAATCAAAATGCCAAAGAAACTTAACCGCGAAGACGTGGACAGCTATGTAATTAATGTAGTGGAAGATTTTACAGAGCCAATAGAAAAGATTACACCAATTCCTTCTCAGGTTTTGGAAAAGACAATTAGTTTCGAGCCCCTTTTGAGTGATGACGACACTGAAGAAAAAGAAAGCAACCCGTTCTTCAAATTTGAGGTGATTGAATTAGAGCCCAAGGAAATGCTAGAGGAATTAAGTGATGCTAACCGACCTGAAAAAGAACCCAAGAAGAAACGTAAATTGAAGCTTAAAACAAAATTAGAAGAAAATCTTGTTGAGATAGTTGAAATTTCTCCACTTGACAGCAATGATAAGCAGTATGAAGTTACCGTAACTAGTTCAGAGACTAATGAGTATCAGCCAAAGGAAAAGAAGATAATCAAAAAAAAAGTTAAGCGTATGAATAAAAAGGAGTTGGATGACTTTATCACAGAGCTTAAGGATGAGCCTGATCAAGCATTCTATGAAACCGCCATGACTGATTTCTTCGAAGTGAAGTTGATTGAACTGGAACCTGAAGAGATTCCTGATGATAATGTATCTCAAAAAACTAAAAAGCGTAGAATTTTGCATAAGCGTGGAGAAACAGAAGAGGTTTTAGAAATTGTTGAAACTGTTCCTTCATCCGGCGAGGAGCCATTCTATGAAATATCAATCAAATCAACTGAACCAGAAGAGGAAACTGATACTCAAAAGCCAATTGAAAGGCCAAAACCAAGAACTAAGAAAATGAAAAAGGTTGATCTAGATGCGTATATACAGCAGCTGATAAATGCCGAGATTCCAATAACTGAACTTGAGAAGTATGAAAAAACTGAAATAGATTCCAAGCCGAAGAAACCAAAGAAGCATAAGATCAAACAACCTAAGGCCCATATCGATGAAGGTGAAGCTTTTGAAGTGGGTATCGTACAGGAAGAACCAATTAAGAAACCAAAGGTCAAGAAACCCAAGCCTCAACCAAAACTTGAAGATGAATCAGTAACTGAACCTGAAAGTGTTACTGAGCACAAAGAGTTTACAATTAGCATGATTGACTCACAGCCCATTCCAGAGAAAATTGTGGAAGAGATAGTTAAGGCAGCTGCCCTTGACCTAGACGAAATTATATCAAACATCGGTGAATCCCTCCCTATCATAGAATTGGAGAAACTTACCGAGACCGTCCCTCAACCTACTGAAGAAGTTGAAAGCTCGGAAATCAAAATAATTAAAAAACGCAAAGTGAAAACTAGAAAGGGTTCCAAGCAGTATGAAGTACAAATCGTGGAAACTATAGCACCGGACGATGATCATGCAGAAGCAAAGGTTGTTGTTATAACAACTGAAATCGTTAAAGACAATACTGATGTACCAATCGAAGAGCAAGCAGAAACTCCAAAGAAAACTATAAGAAAGGTGAAAAAAGATAAGCTCAAAGAATATATAGTCAGCATTATTGATGAGGCCTCAACAGAACTTTTAGCCAAAATTTCTGAGGACGTGTCCCCTGTGGCAGAAGTGGAACCTTTAGAAGATAAAGATATCACAAGTTTTAAAACTACAGTAGTTGACGATGTTACCGAAGATAATGTTAAGCCAGAAGAGGAATCGGTTGACAGTCCAACAGGCAAGCCAAAGGATAAAAAGAAGAAAGCAGCTAAATCGAAAAAGGTTACAGTAATTGAAGAGCAGCCAGTTCAGGGTAAAGACAGCACTGAGGGAGAAGAATATCCTAGTAAGGATGTGGAAACATCAAAATCATCGTCGCACGATGAATATTCAGTTGAGATAACAGAAGTAGCGCCAAAGTCTAAGAAAAAGGTGCCGAAGAATAAACTTGAGCAGCCCATGCCTGTCCCGATATCGGAACACAAAGTTCGTCTTGAGGAACTCGCACCTGAAACAACAACCGAACAAGTTACTAACGAACAAGGAGAAGAGGTTGAAAGGGTTACAACTAAGCGAAGACTTAAAAAGAAGGAAGGTCCAAAGGAATATCTAATTGAAGTTGTCGAAACATACGAAGAAAATAAGCCCGAGGCAGAATTGGTTATTCAGACTATAGAAATAACACCAGAATCAGACTCTCAAGCACCTGAAGATCACAAAATTAAAATTGTGAAAAAGAAAAAACCCAAAGAGGAAAAAATTGACACTTATATTCAACAGTTAATTGAAGAAGAAGTTCCGAAAACAGAGCTTGATGTCTACGAAACAACCGAATTGGAATCAACCCCGGAGTCAAAGAAACCGAAGAAGATAAAGAAACACCATAAGAAAACCACCGAAATAGTTGATGGTATTCCACATACTGTACATGAATTTACCATTCAAGAGTTCGAGCCAGATGCAGAGCTAGTGCCCGAAACCATCACAGAAATTGAGGATGATATAACCCCGAAAACACAGATAGAGGATTACGAAATAGAGGTATCAGATGAACAGCCTAAACGTAAGCCGAAGAAAGATAAGAAATCAAAGGTGGTGGTGGTCGACCAAGAACCAGTCCATATTGAAGACATTGGGGAAACTGTAGAAGTTACTAAGTTAGTTGAAGACGATGGCACAACAAAAGAAGTTCAAGTAAAGAAGCGTAAGATCGTTCGCAAGCAAGGTCCAAAGGAACATGTTTTTGAAATAACAGAGACATCAAATAATGATGAGCCTTTGGCCGAAGTTACCATAATTGATATTACAGAAGATGAAAGGCCGAGTGATACAGTTGAACCACTTACGAAACGGAAGGCACCAATCAAAATGCCAAAGAAACTTAAGCGCGAAGATGTGGACAACTATGTAATTAATGTAGTCGAAGAGTTTACACAGCCAATAGGTACGTTCCCTCAAGTTGAGGAAATTCTCCCTAAAGAGGATGATACGGTTGCACAAGCTGAAGAAATTCCCTCAGAAGATGTTGAAGAGGTGACTGAAGACAAAATTCCCAAGCTTAAAACAAAAACTATAAAGCCGAAGAAACCCAGAAAGAAATCTGAAGATCACACAATTCGTATTGAAGAACTTGCTCCTGAAACCATTATCGAAGATATTGTCAACGAAGAAGGAGATGAAGTAAAGCAGGTAAAAACTACGAAGAAGCTGAAGAAAAAAGACGGCCCCAAGGAGTACTTGATAGAAATAACCGAAACCTATCAAGAGAACAAACCAGACGCTGATATTGAAGTGACAACCTTTGAAATACCTGTAGACGAAACAAGCAAAGTAGATAGAGATCAGCCTGTTAAGATAGTTCAAAAATTGAAAAAGAAGAAGGCCGTAAAGGATGATTTAGATAAATATATTCAAGAACTTATTGAGCAAGAAATTACAAAAACAGGTCTAGAGCAATATGAGCCCACGGAAATTGAATCGAGGCCCAAGCCGAAGAAAAAAGTAAAAACCCATCATAAAAAAAGTGTGCAAATAATTGATAATGTTCCCGTTACCGTTCATGAGTTTGATGTTACGGAAATAGAACCTGAGCTTATAGAGGAAGATAAACCATTGGTTATTTCAGACAAACCTGAAGATGAGACTTCTGAGAATGAAGAGCCCGTAAAATATTTGGCAAATGTTTTGGACGAGATTTTAGAACCAACACAAACCCCTGATGACATAACTGACGAGCCGACAACCGCACCTAAGCGAGAGAAGTCACAGAAAAAGAAAAAGATAGAAAAAGTTCCAGTAGTTTTAGATGAAATATCTGAATCTACTGAAATTATACAGCAGCCTACAGAAGACGGTGTTTTGAAAGAATTTTCTGTGAAGAAGCGTAAGGTTACTCATAGGAAGGGTTCCAAACAAAGCATCTTTGAGATAACTGAAACTACTAGCGATGATCAACCCATGACAGAAGTAACTATCGTAGAGCTAACGGAAAATGAGTCATCCATTCCGGAAGAAGCCCCAACTGTTGAACAGAAAGTAGTAACGAAAACTAAGAAACTAAATAAGGAAGATGTACAGGAATATGTTATCAATGTTATTGATGATTTTGTGCAAGAATTGCCCCTTGAAGCAATTGAGGACATAGTAAAGGAAATTCCCGAAAAGAAAAGGGTAAAGACTAAAAAACCTCCGAAGGACTATAAATTCAGGGAGACCGAAGAAATTTTGGCCGAAGAATTTGAAAAACCTAAGGATGTTCCTGAAATGCCAGATGAGACAAAACTTGAAGTTCCAGTGGAGCCCACTGATTTCACCATAGGCGTTAGCGAAAATGTTACTACAGATGACAAGAAACCTAAAAAAGCGAAGAAGCCGGTAAAGTCACAGCCAGTTAATGAAATTGAATATGAGAAACATCCAGACTATTTGATAAAGGTATCGTCTACAGAGGAAACAGCGGCGAATGAGTTAACAGAAACTGAAAGTGTGAACCTGGAATCAGAGGATGTACAGCCACAGGAGCCAGCTTTCCATATAGAAGAGATCGAAACTATACCAGATGTAGTTGAAGAACAGGATGAAAACAGTGCAACAACAAAGAAAGTCGTTAGTAAGCGAAAGATCAGAAAGCAAGTTGGTCCTAAGGAAGAAATCATAGAAATTGTCGAAACTGTCAAGGACGGGCTGCCTGAATATGAAGTCACAGTAACTACTGAAGAAGCCGAGAAAGAAGTTGAACAAATTCCTCAAGAAGAGAAGCCAAAGAAGTTTAAGAAGACCAAAAAGGTTCCAAAGGATGATTTACATGAGTATATACAAAAACTTATTGAACAGGATATTCCGAAATCAGAATTAGAGAAGTACGAAAAAATAGATTTTGATGAACCAGTCAAAATGAAAAAGAAGAAGCCTGTGAAAAAGATCCAAATTACCGAAGAAGAAGTTAAGGATGCCCCTGAAGTATCAATTATAGAAGCTCCCGAATATGAAACACATCCATTGGAAAGTCCTTTGGAAGAATCACAATTGATGGTTACTGTTAAAGAATTTATAGCACCAATACCCAAAGAAAAATCCTTTGAAGTTACAGTTCTTGAAGAACATGTTGAAAATAAGCCGATTCCGGATAGTGAAGGGGAAATTAAAATAAAGGAAGTAAAAACAAAGAAAATAAAACACAAAAGGGATCAGGAAGAGATAATTCATGACATAAAAGTTGTTCATGATAAAGATACTGATGAATCCGAAATTACTATAGTAACATCAAGTCCAAACGAAACTGAAGATCAGCAGGAAGTTACTGTTAAGCAAAAGCGAACCAAAAAACTTAAAAAGGATGATGTTGATGATTTCATTAAAACAGTTATTGAAGAAGATGTACCACGAGAACAGCCATCTGACGTTGTTACCGTTACTGAGGAGACGGATTCTCAGAAAATACCTGAAAAAACAAAGAAGATCAAAAAGAAGGAAAAAAGGCCGTCATTGGAAGAGAAATCAACGCCAATAGAAAACGTAGAAGTTGTAGAGAGCTTACCAACGGAGGAACCAACTGAAGAATTCCGCGTGGATGTAGTGGAAGTATCTCCCACCGTCGAGTCTGATAAAGAAGGTGAAGTACCCCAAGATCATAGTATACCTGAAAAGAAAAAGAAATCTCCTAAGCAAAAGATTCAAGTTATTGAAGAACGACCTGAGAAAGAAACTGATGTTAAGCCTTTGGAGATTGTGGAAAAGGAGTTTGATATTGAAAAGCCAATTGAGAAAGAATACAGTGTCACTTTCACAGAAGAAGAATCTAAGCCAAAGGACAAAATAGAAATGAAGCCGAAGGAGGTTAAGGATAAGCAGGCTCAACCAGAGGAACAAACTTACCAAATCTCTGTTAAGGAAAGTCATATTCAACTCGAAGACCTTCCTTTAACTATAGAAATGATCGAAAGTGAAACGAAAGAGGAGGTAACCACAGATGATGCTGGCGAGGTCCATAAAGTAGTTACAACAAAACATAAGATTAAACGTCCAAAGGGAGAAACGGATGAAGTTATTGAAATAATTGAGGTAGTTACTGATGATCAGCCTAACGCGGAAATTACAATTGTTGAGTACGAGCCGGTACAACCACAAGAGGAAGAAAAGGCCAAAGAACCGAAAAAGAAATTAAAGAAAGTTAAAAAGGATGATATTCATGATTATATACAAAAACTTATAGACATGGAGACTCCTAAAACTGAATTGGAAAAATATGAGAAAATTGAGTTCGAGCCAATACCCAAAGAAAAACCTACGGAAACAACGCCTGTAACAGTGACAGATGAATCTCCATCCGAGAAACCAAAGAAGGACAAAAAGTCTAAGCCGAAAGAGTTGCCCATAAAAGATGAATCTTTACCAGAACCATTGGCTGAAATTACGGTTATTGAGGAGGAAGAACATGAAAAGCCAAAATTGGTCGAAGTAGTGGAAGTTCAACCAGTGGATGTCAAAATTACAGAAACAATCACTGACGAGGGCCATCCAGTTCAAGAGAAAACTACTAAGCGAGTTTTAAAGAAAAAGGGTCCCGAGGAAGAAACCACTTTCAAGATAACAACAATTGAAAGCGAAGGCAGTGATACCGTGACTGTTATCGTCGACGAGGAACCTGAAGCCGTGCCAGTTGAGTCTATTGAAACTCAACCAGAGAGTGCGGAAGAAGAGAAACCAAAGGCCAAACCGAAGCCTAAGAAATCAGTAAAGAAGGTTAAAAAAGATGATTTGGATGAATATGTTAAGAAACTTTTAGAGGAAGAACTACCAAAGACTGAAAAGGAAGTGTATGAAAAAGTTGAAATGCCAGAAAAACCGAAAGACAAAGCCCCAACAGAAAGTGTGACAGAGCAGGCAAAGCCTGCCGTGCCCGAAACCCCAATAGCAGATCTTGACTTGCCCTTACCTAAAAAGACGAAAAAACCTAGAACAAAACCAGTTGACGTAGGGGAACAAAGACAAGACGAACCAACGAAAGAGACTGTTTCTGAGACTAAAGACGTAACTGAAGATACACCAACTCAAATTGCACACCCCGAGGACACAGCCACTGCACAAATTACACCAAGCGCACAAGATGAAATATCTACTCAAGATGACACTAAAGATACAGTTCAAAAAACAGTTAAGCATAAGAAAGCTAAGCCAGACACAGTTAAAAGCGTTGAAACAAGTAAGTTATTAGATGAGAGTTTTATGAGGCTTAAATTTTCCACCGCAACGCAGCACCTGTTCCTTTGTCTGTGTCTTTTGCCTTTGTTTATTCCAACGTTGTCTTCCAACATTTCGCGCCTTTGCCATCCCCTCTTTTTTACTCTCTCTCTCTCTCTCTCTCTCTTTCTCTTACTCTCTTACTTTTGCTTTCTCTCCCCCCTTTCCATTCTAATTTGGTGCTCAATAAGTTGAGCATTAGTTTAGCTAAAAATATTGCCCGTTTGCAATTTGTATCCAAATAAACACTGTTACCAACCTAATGCATGCTCTTAAATTCAATAAAAATAATACTAAAATTCTTCTTTGCATCCTTTAAATCGATTTCCACATTATAATCAATTACAGTATTCTCTAAAATGACTAACTGTTTTGAAATACTTATTGTACAGTTTTTAAATATTTAGGAAATTTATCTTAAATTGGACAAGCGTTCTAGAATTTTGAAATACTGCTAATATTTCAATATTTATCAAGCTCGACGATTTGCTTGCATTCTTATGCAAAAGCAATGCACGGATTCATAATACAGCTGCACGAATTGTATATTACTAAAAATATAAATTTCTATAACAGGTGAAGCACCCGAAGCTTATAAGGATTATCACATAAACGTGATTGATGAAGAGCCCGAAGAAAAAGAAGTGCAGCCCGATAAAATCTTGGAAGTTAGAATTATCGATGAAGTTTCTGAAGTCGAAGAGTCTCAGCCCATCGTCGAAGAAGTCGAAGAGGAGGATGAAAAACCGACAGCCGAGGAAACAATTGAGGATGTCACGAAGCCGAAGACAAAGAAAAAGAAGATTGTCAAAAAGAAGACCCATGAACACGATGAAATAATACAAAAGCTGCTTGAACAAGAAATTGAAAAAACAGAGTTGGAGAAATATGAGAAGGTCGAATTTGATACGCCCAAGAAACTGAAACCAGAATTCGCTAATCTCGAACCAATTAAAATTGAAAGGAAGGAACAGAAGCCCACAAAGGTCACAATAGTTGAGGCCGCTGAGATTCCCAAGATGGTGAAGTTAAAGCCTGGCAAACGTAAGGAGAAACCGGCAGAAGAACAAACTGTACAACTTCCCAAATTCAGGCTTAAGACTCGCATGATTATGGTTGAATATCCGCCCACCCCGATTATACCAAAGTTGACAGACATTGGTGCAATTAAGCAGAACGGTGACCTCACCCGCAATATTGAGGAAGCGGAAGAGCTACTAAAGTTCAAGCCACACAAACCCAAGAAAATTAAGAAAATTAAAGATGATTTGGAGAAGGTGGAGCTTGAAAAGTATGAAAAATATGTGAGTAGTGAAGAAGAACCGGAGGCAAAGCAACCATATCAAAAACCTGAAAAGGTACCAAAACCAGAAGAAACTCCGGAAGAAGTCAAACTTAAAATTGGTAAGGGCAAGAAGAAGCCTAAGGAGGAAGAATCTCCTGAAAATGTTACGCTCAAAAAGATACCACAAAAGCCCACAGAATATGAAGAAGAAATTGAAAAGAAACCAAAAGAAAAGGATGTGATTGTAGCTGAAGAGCAACCAAGGCAGCCCAGGGAGCAGGATATACAAGTGGAACCATTCGAACCAATTGATTATGAGCGGCCTGAATATATTCCAGAAGAACTTGAGGAAGTGGAAAAACCAGAAAAGCCGGAAAAGCAAAAGAAACCAAGTAAAACAAAGTATAAGCCTAAAGAAAAATCAAAGCCAGAACCGGAAACAAATATTACGGAAATTGTTCCTGGAAAACCAAAAGAACAAGAAGAAGTGCCCGATACTGACATAAAGTTCCGCAAGCCCGAGAGTGAGGCACCAGAAGAGACGGATTCTCAAATTAAACTGAAACCAGTGATAAAAACTACTGAAGAAACACCAATTGAAGATGTTGTTGACAAGACAACGGTTGAGGAGTCGAAGCCGCAGGAAAAGGTAATCAAACCTGAAGACGAGGTTAAGAAGTCTAAGAAATCTAAAGCGAAGCCTGCACAACAAAAAGAAGAAGAGATTACTCAAGAGAAGCAGCCAGAATTTGAGGTTTCAGTAAAGGAAAGCGAAGCCGTTATTGAAAAGGCCGACGATGTTGAGATGCCCAAAGAGGTAAAGGTGAAACAAAAAAAACCGAAAAAAGAACCTGTGGCTGAAGTCGAAATCGTGAAAGAACTGCCTGAGGCAACAGAAGTGTCAGAAGAAATCCCTGTAGAGTACAAAATAACAACAACTGTTTTAGAGCCGGATGAAGCACCAAAAGAACATCAAGTTAAAGTGGTTGACTTTGATGAAAGGGAAGTTACCACTGAAGAGGTTGTTGAAGAAAAGGTTGTTACTAGAAAGAAGAAGCCGAAGCCAGAGCAGCCAGAAGAGTTTGAGGTCACGTTACAGGAGCCACAATTAATACAACCTGAAGCCGAAGAGGAAACAGTTGAAGTTGTGATTCCTGTTCAACACCCCGAACAAGAAAGTGAAGAATTTGAAGTCGAGTTGAAGATAACCGAACCACAACCAGAAGAGCAAAATGTCGTTGTGAAGAAAAGGCCTAAGAAGAAGCCTGTGGAAAAAGTAGAGGAAGTGAAGCAAGACGTGGTAAAAGAAGTGGAGACGCAACCGGAAGAGCAAATAGAAAAAGATATTTTGCAGGTGGAAGATGTAGAAAAGGTTGAAGAAACACAAGCGAAATCTTTCGAATTCCAAGTGACTGAAACCGATGCCCCTCTAATAAAACCAGCAGAAGTCATTGAAGAAAAACCAAAAGAAACGGCGAAGAAACCAGCTCCGAAATTGATTGAGAAATTCGACTCTTATGAAATTTCCGTCAATGAATCTCAGGTGGATAAAGTAATTGAGCAGGTGGAACAACCCGAGGAAGATGTTCCTGAAGAAGTTCTAATTACCACAAAAGCAAAAGAACCGGAACCAATAGAAACAGAGTTTGTGATAACGGAACCAAAACCAACAGAAGAGAGTCATGTAGAAGCGGAAGTCAAGCCAAAGAAAACAAAGAAGCCTAAGAAAACTGAAGAGGCCACTTGTCTTGATATTAAAGTTGTTGAAGAAGTGCCTGCTCCAGAAGAAATAATAGTTGAAGCTGAACAACCTGATGTTGTTGAAAAGGAAACAGTTCCCGCTAAAGAAACACCAAAAGAATATAAGATTCGGGTATCTGATACGGAAATTGAGCAACCAGAAGAACCAACTGCTGCAGAATTTACTGTGAAGAAACCGAAATCTTCCCTTGTTGCTGCAGAAGAACCGGAAGCAGAGTTTGTTTTAAAAGAGAGCAAGCCTGTAGAAGAAGTAACCGAAGCAGCCGAAATAAAAACGAAGAAGCCTAAAAAGAAAGTTAAGGAAGTTGTGGCGGAAGAACTTAAGATCCAAATCAAAGAAGAGATTCCTCAAGAAATTCCCGTAGTGGAAGAAATCATTGAGGTTGTGACAGAAAAAGAGGAGGATGTCCCTTCTGTTGATTATAAATCGTATGAAATTGGTGTGAAGGAAACAGTACCTGAAAAACCTGCCGAGGAAGAAGTAATTGAGGAGCCATTGGTAAAGGAGCCAGTAATCGAAGAGGAAGCACCTACTGTTGAATACAAGTCCTATCAAATAGGTGTGAGAGAGACAGTAGCTGAGAAGCCTGTTGAGGAAATTCCAGCAGAAGACCAATTGGTAGAGGAGCCTAAAGTCAAAGAGCCACAGCCAGAAGTCTTTGAAGAACTTAAAGTCAGAGTTATCGAAGAGACACCCCGTGAAGTTGTAGAAGAAGTTCTCGAAGAGCGCATTAAGGTGCACCGCAAGAAAAAGCCGAAGCCAGAAATTACAGAAGAGCCAGAGGCTGAAATAAGCATTCCCGCTTCAAAACCTGTTGATGAAGTGGAAGCGGTCCAAAGCGTTACCATTGTACCTGAGATTCCGACTGAAGAGGATGCTGCAGAGCTTAAGATAACTATTATTGATGAAATATCTCAGCCGCAAGAACTTATTCAGGAGATTGAAGAAATCGAAACCGTTAAGGAATCAGTCGCTGAGCCGGTACCGGTAGAAAAGCCAAAAGACTATAAATTCAGTATAAAAGAATCTGAGACGCCAAAGGAAAGTATCGAGGAATTGCCCGAAGAACAGGTTACCATTCAGAAAAAGAAGAAAGTTCCGGAGCAAAAAGAAACGGTCGAAGACTTACCCGAAGAGCAGGTTACCATTCAAAAGAAGAAGAAGAAGCCTGAACCTCAGGTTATAGAAGAACCCGAAGCCGTTTTCGAAATCAAACAAAAACAACCAGTGGAAGAAGTTACGGAGGAGGCTAAAATAAAGAAGAAGCCGAAGAAACCGGTAAAGGAAGAAGAGGCAGCTGCAGAGCTTAAAGTTACTGTGATCGAGGAATCTGCACCAGAACCAATAATTGAAATCGTCGAAGAAATTGAAGAGCAGCTGGAAGAGACCCCTGAAGTTGTGCCAGTTGAAAAACCCACTGAGTACAAATTCAAGCTGGAAGAAAGCCAACCCGAAGCTCCAGAAGAAATTGAGGAAGAGGATGTTCAGATGGTGAGCTTGCCCAAGAAAACTCCAAAGGTCATTGCACCGATTGAAGAACCTGAAGCTGAAGTTGTCCTTAAACCCAAATCGAAGCCTGAAGAAGTACAGGAGGAAGTCAAAATATCAAAGAAGAAACCCAAAAAGAAGGTTGTAGAGGAAGCCGCTGAAGAACTAACAGTTAAGGTAGAAGAAGAAGTAACTCCTGAGCCTATAATTGTGGAGGAAGAAGTTGTAGAAGAAGTTGAAGTTAAGAAACCAGAAGAACCAACACCCGAAGAAACAGTCGATGCTGCCGTTTTCAAACTGAAGAAGCCAGTTGCACCTGAGGAAGAGGATGTGGTCGCTGAAGTTACTTTGAAACCAAAGCTACCCAAGGAGGTGCAAGACGAAGAGTTCGCAGTCGATATCAAACTGCCAAAAGAAAAGAAGGTTTCTGAAGAAACATCGGATGAAACTGTGCAGCTCAAGAAGAAGAAGAAGCAACATAAACCAGTGGAAGAAGCTGCGGATGAGCTACAACTTCAGCAAACTGTTATCGAAGAGAGACCAATAGAGATTGAAGAAGAAGAAATCATTGAGGAAGCCGTTGTAGTAAGAAGGAAACCAAAGAAACCTTTCCAACCAACGGTAGAAGAACATGAAGAAACTGAATTCAGTCTCTCATTTAAAAAGCCTCACACTGTAACTGAAGGTGTCGAAGAAGCAGCAACAGTTCTTAAGAAACGTCCAGTAAAACCCAAGACCCAAGACGAAGCTGCAGCAGAACTGTCAATTAAGCGCCTGGAAGAAGAATACGAAGAAGGGGATGACGTTGAAGAATTTTTGGTTAGCCAACGACCCAAGCCAAAGCCACTGCAAGTTACCGATGAAGAAGACCAAGAGTACACTATCAAAAAGCTCAAGCGACGCAAGAAGGTGGACATTCCTGAATTCTCTGATGTTGAAAATGTTACTTTCCGACCAAAGACCACCAAGACTAAAGAAGACGTTGACCAAGAGTTTAATATTGCCCTAGACTCCTATGCTGAGGAGGAAGTGTCCATGTCTGGAAAGGTGAAACTTAAGAAACCAATTAAGATGACCTACTCGGAAGCCACTGATGAGGCAAGGATTAAGATTTTACAAGATTATGATGACGGTGAAGGTCCAATAATTGAAGAAATACATGACGATGAAGATACTATTGATGAAGTTGAGGAGCCTGAAGAGTACTTGGTTGAGGAGCTTCCTCCAGACGAGGTTGACTTTAAGCTAAAACCGAAAAAGCAGCCCAAGCCACACTATTCAGTCCAAGACGAAGAAGAGGAACAATTTCTGATTGGTCTTCGCCATGCCAAACGTGATTCAGTGACGTACGATGAAGATTCTCTTACATTCAAAAAGAAGCGTAAAATCGTGCAACAACTTTTCAATGAAGGTAAGTTTTGTCCCGGGTATAATTCCTATAACTTATAATTATCAACTTGCAATAATTTCTCCATCGTTTTAATTTGCACATCTGCTTATATGGCAATAGCTTAGAAAAATGAGGTAAAATGACCCAAAACACATAAATGTTAGTAGCTAACGCATAACTATCCATTATGACCACCTTTAGATGTACTTTTTGTACTTACCTATTTTAAAATCTTTTGGAAAAACATATTAATATTTATATCTTACTTCTGGACTAGATGGCGCTTCTCTTAACATTACTAGGGAAATGGATGTGGAAGGTAAATTTTATTATTAAAGTTATAGACACGATAAAATAATTTTCAATCAATTTTAGAATCTCAATTCGAGAACATCATGTATTCTATTTGCAATTACATTGCTGATAACGATGAGGCAATCAATTTGGTAGAGGGTGAAAAAGTACAGGTTATTGGACGCCATAGCTCTGAATGGTGGTATGTCAAGAAGAGCATTACGGAAGAGGAAGGTTGGGTGCCTGCCCAATATCTTATGGAGCCCGCGGAATATGCCCAATATGTGCAGAATAAGCTGCATGAAAAGATTGATAAGCTACCCGTGTTTGAAAGTAAGTTCTGCATATGAACCTAAATGTTATTATCTAACAAAACTTGTTGGCATTGTCCTGTCATGTTATTAACACTTCTTCTTAATGTCTTGTGTTTGGCGTTTATTAAGGACCTGGACCTCAAGACAAGCCGATAGCACCGCGATTCATTGAAAAGTTACAACCAATACACACACCTGACGGTTATACAGTGCAATTCGAGTGCAAGGTCGAAGGTAGTCCGAGACCACAGATCGCTTGGTTCCGCGAAACAGCCATCATAAAACCCTCACAGGACTTCCAAATGTTCTACGATGATGACAATGTAGCCACATTGATAATTCGTGAAGTCTTCCCCGAAGACGCTGGCAAATTCACTTGCGTGGCCAAGAATGCCGCTGGTTTCACTTCCAGTACAACCGAATTGATTGTCGAGAGTCCGCTATCGGATCATGGCTCAGATGCCACGGCACTTTCGCGCAGAAGCATGTCCCGTGAATCTTCCTTGGCTGATATACTTGAGGGTATACCACCAACATTTTCGCGTAAGCCAAAGGCCCAATATGTTGATGAAGGTACCAATGTAATCTTGGAGTGCCGTCTTGTTGCGGTGCCCGAGCCTGAGATCGTTTGGACCTTCAATGGTGAAGACATTGATGAGGAAGAGATTAAAAATATTCGGATTGTTACCGAATCGGATATGCACATGTATTGCAGCGTTGTGCATATTACAAAAGTTAAAAAATCTCAAGAGGGCACATACGAAGTTATAGCCACAAATCGCGAGGGCGAAGCTCGTTTGCCCATCACATTGAAGGTACGAACCTCGGACAAAGAAGCTCCTCAAATTTTGGAACCTTTGCGTAATATGGTGATACGTGAGGGTGAAAGCGTTGTGCTATCGACACAAATTGTTAGTAATCCAGTGCCAAAGGTAACCTGGTACAAGGATGGCAAGCCCATTAAGAATGCCAAATCAGAAAAAGACTTACATACTCTAACACTGATTACACCAAAGAAGTCGGAAAAGGGTGAATATACAGTCAAGGCTGTCAATCCATTGGGCGCTGTGGAAACCACTGCTTATCTTACAATTGAAGGTACGTTACGTGTTCAATGTTCATTGAGAAACACACATTTTCTGTTCTACCTTAATAGCATTAAAATACTATTTACTTTCCCATCTAGAACCCACCAGTGGTAATGCAGAGCCTCCATTATTTGTGGAACGTTTCGAGGAGCAATCGGTGCCGCAAAAGAGCGAGATTCGCTTACCTGCTAAGGTTTCCGGAAATCCAGTTCCTGAGGTACAATGGCTGTTCAACAATAACCCATTGTATGCCAGCGAGCGAGTGCAACAGATTTATGATGGCGAAAATATTGAGCTCATTATACAGAATGCCAATCCAGAAACTGATTCGGGTGACTACAAATGTATTGCCAGCAATCCCATAGGCAAAACATCACACGGTGCACGTGTGATTGTTGAGGTCGATGAGGTGACCTTTACCAAGAAGCTGAAAAAGACCATTACCATTGAGGAGGTGCAATCCCTGACATTGGAATGTGAAACCTCTCATGTGGTCTCAACCAAATGGTTCTTCAATGGCAAGGAGCTGAGCGGCATGGACCATCGCGTTGTCGTTGAGGATGGCAAGACTCATAAGCTGGTCATTAGGAATACAAATCTACGCGACTCCGGTACATATGTATGCAAGGTAAAGAAGCAAGAGACGCAATCAACAGTGGAGGTGCTGCAACGTAAGCCAGACTTCCTAAAAGTGCTAGAAGACTATGAGGTAACCGAAAAGGACACAGCCATTCTGGATGTCGAGCTGACAACGGAAGCTGTAGAGGTCACCTGGTACAAGGATGGCGAAAAAATCACACCTGAACACAAAAACTGTGAGTTCATCAAGGATGGCAAATCGAGGCGCTTAGTCATACGTGATACTACAATTCATGATGAGGGCGAATACACGTGCAAGCTGGAGGGCCAGGAGTGCAGCGCAGAGCTTACTGTCATTGAACTGCCACCAGAGATTATAAAACACTTGGAGGACATCAACGTCACAAAGGGTGAAAATGCCACGTTCAACATTGAGCTGAGCAAGGGCGATGCACTGGTAAAATGGTTCAAGGAAGGCAAAGAAATCAAGTTCACTGAGCGCATACAGCTAGCGATTGATGGTAAAAAGCAATCACTGCGTATTTTGAAGGCCAAGCCTGAAGATGTAGGCGAGTATTCCATTCAAGTTGGAGAGCAAACATCTAAGGCGAAGCTGACAGTTGAGGAGCCATTAGTAGACTTTGTGCTTCGGTTGCCCGACGTCACGCTGGCTACCAAGACCACAGATGCTGAATTCACAGTCGAGCTCTCTCAGCCCGATGTGGAGGTTACCTGGTACAAGAAGGGCAAGCCCATCAAGCCGAATAAGAAGCATGAGGTCTTCGTTGAGGGCACTGTTAGGCGTCTGGTCATTCATGATGTTAGCGACGATGATGCGGGTGAGATCAGCTGTGTTGCCGAAAACGTCACCAGCAGCAGTAAGCTTTGCGTTGAGGAGCTTAAACTGCCGCCCGTGATTACTTCTGACAAGGATCAAACCATCAAAGTGAAGGAGAACGAAGACGCTACCTTCACTGTCAAATACACTGGCACGCCCACACCCGAAGCTGAGTGGACGACGCGCAAAATTGTCATTCCCAAGTCGAAGCGTACTATTCCCACTATTGATGAACAATCCGCAACTCTGACCATCAAGAAGGTTGTCGACGATGACGAGGGCGAGTATACGGTTAAGCTTGTAAATCCTGTGGGTGAGGCAGAAGCCAGCCTACATTTGGTCATTATGCGTAAGTATAAAAAATTAATTACAAAGTAAACGATGCGGAAATTTAGACCTCTGTCAAAACTTTAGGCAAACCCACGGCGCCAGGCACACCTCAGCCTTTGGAGGTGATGCACGATTCAATTACACTTTATTGGAAGGCCCCGGAGGATGATGGTAAATCTGAAATTATTGAATACATTCTGGAGTATCATGATGTGAAGCAGGAAAAGTGAGTAATATGCATGAATCTAATAACTTTAAATAAAACTAACATATCTCCTTTTATAGATGGACTGAGATACGCAAGATTAAAGATACAACTTATACCATCAGCAAGCTGAAGATCGATACAGAATACGTATTCCGTGCGATTGCAGTCAACGAAGTTGGCCCATCGCCGCCCTCACCCATCTCATCACCCATACGCCTGATGCCTAAGGTTGAAACCGAAGCACCCAGCGTACGTGAGCCTTTGCAGGATATTGTCAGTGATCTGAATAAGGAGGTGACACTGTCCTGTGTGTTTGGGGGCATTCCAGAGCCAAGTGTTACATGGAAAAAGAATGGCCAAGTCTTCGAGTCGAGTAGCTTGCGCTACGAGAATCGTGTTGCCAAATATACCATTGAAAAGACTACTATTGAGACTGAAGCCACATATACATGCGTGGCTACTAATGAGAAGGGCTCCGTGGAAACGTCGTGTAGACTTAAACTGCAGCAGAAGCCAGTCGTAGAAATTGGGGAGAAGTACTTGACCCAAAAACTGCGCACTGGCAGCACTCTCACCATTCCAGCAACAGTCCGTGGCTATCCTCAGCCAACTGTGACCTGGCACAAGGAGACCGTCGAACAGAAGTCAACCACCAAGGAAATCACCATTGAAACGACAGAGACTAGTTCCACATACACCCTTAAGAAGGTAACACGCGAACACTCTGGGCGGTACAAAGTGACGGCAACAAATGAATCGGGAACCAGCTATGCAGAGTGCACGGTTCAAGTGATTGACAAGCCAAGCAGGCCACAATCCCTGGAGATTAAAGACATTAAAAAGGATTCTATTACCTTGGAATGGACGCCACCTATCGACGATGGCGGCATGGAGATAAAGCAGTATACGCTAGAAAAATGCGATGTACAGAACAATGTCTGGATGAAGGTTTCAGATTTCGATAAGGACATCAACTCGTACGCCATTCAAAAACTTTCCATGAATGCCCAGTACATGTTCCGAGTGGTGGCTATTAACCCCATAGGTGAATCGGAGCCAACGGAGAGTGAGACTGTGACCATAACAAAGAGATTTGGTATGTCTACGCAAATATGTAAAATATGTAATATGTGATAGTTAAGAATACCATCTACTTTTGACTTGCAGAAAAACCAACTCCACCTCGTGATCCTACTTCGGTGTCTGGCATGAACGATACTTCATTTACATTATCCTGGGAGCCGTCGGAGAACGATGGTGGTTCCAAGATAATTGAATACATTGTGGAAATAAGGGAAGAGACTGAAACCGTTTATCGCTCTGTGGGCAGTACAGCGGGCACGGTAACAAACATTCAAGTTGAAAAAGTTGTGAAGAACAAGGGCTATCTGTTCCGGATCTACGCTCGAAACGAGGTTGGCACCAGCGATGCGTTCGAGACAACAGAAAAGATTGTTGTTGGACGCAAGATAAGTAAGTGACAAGAAATACTCAGAAAGATAATTGCTTATTGCTTACTGCTTTGCACATTGCTTTCTCTCTTAACGCCCACTAATGCTTCTCTTGCGCCATGAAACAATTTATAACTAAGCAGCGACTAATTATGAACACATGGGTACGTTGTAGACGTCATCGAATGAAATAAGTCTTGTTAACATTTTTTGATAATTAACATTTTTATACGCTCCATTTTAGCGCCGCCATCGCCACCTCAAAATCTGAGAGCACCAGATGTAACAAGTCGCAGCGTAACTCTCGATTGGGAGGTACCAGCCAGAAACGGTGGTTCAGAAATTACTGGTAATTATAATAATAGTAATAATAAAACTCCAAACATAATATTATAATACTCTATAATAATAGAACTCTATAAGAAAAAGAGTTTACTTACTAGTTAAAATTATATTAATATACAAAATATAAATATAGGCTATTGCGTGGAAAAACGTTCCTCAACATCAACAAGCTGGTCAAAGGTTATTACTTTGGATGCACATCAGCTGCACTACACCATAGACAATTTGAAAGATAAGTGCGAGTATTGGTTCCGTGTGTCAGCGGAGAATGAGGTTGGATTAGGTGCACCAGCCGTCACAGAAAGCATATCGCTAAAAACACATGCAAGTAAGTTGAACGTGGGCAATATCATATAAGATTTCTAATCCTTCATAATATTTTAACCAGCCGTACCATCGCCGCCAACTGCTCCACTGGAGGCGCGAGTCATTGCTGCCAATGCCCACGTATTCGAATGGGGTATACCCGAGTCAGATGGAGGTGCGCCACTGCTCGGCTATCACATAGCCATACGTGACATGAAGAAGTCCATGTGGATTGAGGTTGGTCGGGTGCCAGCGGGTGTGCAGAAATTCCAGATAAGAGACTTGCAAGAGAATCACGAATATATGATACGTATATTTGCTAAGAACGAGATTGGTCTGAGTGAACCTCTCGAATCAGAGGAGCCATACAAAATCATGACTGCAGGTATGTAGACGCATTTATTGTTTAATATTTTCCGCAATGCTAATACATTCTCTTTGCAGGTCATGCCAGCCTGCCCGACGAGCCACGCACGGAGATGAGCACATGCAACACATCCTCGTGGCTGCGGGATCATAATATGGATGCGGATATACACTCGTATGCGCGCGGTCGGCTGCTTCAACGCGATGAGTACTTCTTCCGTCTCTGGGCACAAATGCCCAAGAAGAAGAAGAAGAGCTCAAAGTAGACAACAACAAAAACCAAAACAAAAATAATAACAAAAACTCAAGCAAATAGCCATGACAAAACGAATGAAATTTAGGTTAGGTTAAGCATATTTCAATTGTATTTTAATGAATTCTTGATTTTTATTAGCTTTTTATTACTTTTAATGTACCCATGTAAAGAGAATGTAATGTTCGGATTTGCGTCCAGCAACAATGATGTCCACGAAACTCAATCAGAAAAGGGCGAGCGAAGACAAACTTAATGTTTTGAGTGCGTGGACGTGGCTGTTAGATTGTGACGTCACTGGCCCATTACATAATCTATGAAAGAAATTTATATTTTTAATTTGCATAAATTCGTATAATTTCCTTCGCTTTATTTTTGTAAGCTGTGATAAATTTATCAAATTCGAAAGCGTCAAACGATAAAATGCCATGACATTTGTGCCACGACACATCGCGCATCGGGCAACGGGCAGCCAACGGGCCAACAGCCAACAACCAGCAGTATCGTCGACAACAACAACAACAACAATAACAACCACAACAACCAACAAGAACACACATTATAGCAACAAGAACCGTTACAACACAACACAAGTGACTCAATATCCTCTAGGGAGACAAACAACAAATGGTGCAATTCGATATGAGTTACGAGTATGTTGTGTATGTGTGTGCATGTCGGTCTGTCTGTGTGTGTGTGTACGTGTGTGAGTGTTGCGTTGTGCGTCGCGCTGACTGGCCCTTGCCTTTGCCGTGTGCTCGCTGTGAGCAAATTTATGGCATCCAGAGGGTTACATAACTATACTTATATTGTGGAAGAGCCCAACATGACTTTAAAGAAACAAAACTAAATGAAAACCAAAGAAAATAAAATAAATATGAATAAATTTTTAACGAACAACTTAAAGTGGTTCATTCTTGGTGCAAGCGTAACTTTTGCGCAGTTGAGCACGAAAAATCAACTAATTAATTCATTAGTTAGTTTTGGTCGAGTCTAAAATGAAAGAAAGTCGAAGTTAACGGTAAGTTTGCACAGCAAAGTTTTCTATTAAGTTTTTATTCTAAAACTTCAAGTCGACAGCCAAACAATGGCAGCTTCGAGCTGGCCATGCTGACATGCGTGTGCAGGACCCAAGAGAAGCATCTGAAATGGGGACAGAGGGCATGGGACAGTCAGTGGCTGAGAGATACCAACACTAGGGCTACGGTTACGCGTCGTTGAACTTATCTGGTGACATGGGCAAAAGCTGCATAAAGTTTCCAGAGAGAATTGTGTGCGAATTTAATTAAAGTTTTTGCGGCTGCCACTAATCAAAAGATATTATCTAAAATGTTCTATGTGGTAGTTACTTTGGCCGTTGGCAAATAACTTTTTGCTGCGGGCACAACTGTAATTTACACTAAGCTGCTTGCGGCCACAGTGGACACCAACTGAAGACTGGCTAAACAGCAGAAAGTAAGCTGAAAATGGATTCATAAAGCTAAACATATTTCCGGCACTTTAAATTGTGCACAAGCTAACGAACAGTTCACTATTCACATGACTGCCTCTCTGCACAGTAACAACAACTAAATAAACCTACCTATAACAACACCTACAAATGCTATTGATACCGACTGGCAGGCAGGCAGCACTAAATGATCGGCCAGTCGTTCTGGGACCTGGTCTTGGGCTTGGTCCTAGCCACCAGGCCAGGTCCTTTGGAGAGCTCGTGTCGCTTATTTCGAGGGCTTCCAATGCCCCGGCACAAAAGCGGAAATTTCATTTACTTGTTTGCTTTTTATGCGCTTCATTCGATTTTTGCTTGTTTCGTTTTTCTCCGATTTTATTTGCGCTAGATTCAAGCTGCCAGCTTAGCTGACTTTTCACACACATATTTTTCAACTTAAATTTTCGGAATTGCAACAATTTTCTTGTGTGTTGTGTTGACTTTAAGCCCTCCAAGTGCTTCTGGTGCTGTCTGTCGCAAGGTTCGTATGCCCATTTGTTATGGTTTATTAATGCCACTCCAAACTTAGCCAGAAAGTCGGCCTAACACAATTGTAAACTTGTAATGGCATTCGGCAAGTTCGGAGCATTGCTTGTAAAAACAAAATTACACATAAACTTTATGGTGTGCACGTAGAAAATTGAGGCAGCACTTTTTCCTTGACACGGCTCGTCAAACGTGATACAGCCTGCCCGAGACCTAAGCCAAAGACGTAGGAAATAAAACAAAAAGACAGCCAAAAGTTTGCCTAATTAGTTCCCAAAATAATAACGATAAGAGCATGGGAAAGCCACATTCCTAGATTTCAGGCATGCCCAAATGCTAAAAACATCTCGGTTGTGTGTCAAATAAATTGAATTATCAACTTGTACGGCAGCTCAAAGCAATTAGTTGTTAGCACTGATATGAACCAAATTAGCGAATCAAAGACAGAAGTCTTAATTGGTTTCAAGTTTTCAATTTTCCAAGAATGGCTTAGGAAAAATGTCTGAGCAAAGCAAATTTTATGAATTTTTGTTATTGGAATATATATGATTCAATTATAAATTATTCACTAACTATCCAACTTTTTAAAATAGCTCCGCCCACTATAATCTTCGGGTGAGGTGGTAAGATATTCGAGTTCTTGCCTGGATACGAACTCTCCTATCGAGGTCTCCTCGAAATAATACACCAAAGTTGGAAGATAAAAAGCCGGATATACTAAATGAAAACAAACATTTTGTTTTGTAAAAGCTAAGCGGGCAATAAAGCTTTTAAATATACAGTTTAAATATAAAAATCATACAACGAACCAAATTAGATTCCTAGATTGCAGTATGCCCTTTTAGTATACTTCTGGTAACAAGAATGGTATGTTTTTATATAACGGCTTGTTTTTGTAGTTGCCACAAGAAAGTTCGTGTCATAAAATGTTAATTCCCGTTCATGTTTATTGCCCAGAAATAAGCACCCGAAAGAGTCGCTAGGCCGCAGATTAACTGATGCTTTATGAAAGTGGGTCGAATTATAAAAGTATCTGCAGTTATTTACGGCACAGCACGGTCCCCAAATAGCACCAAAATGACAAGCCAAACTGTTGTATGTATAATTGCCCAGCACAGTCCTGCCCGGAACCATGAGCCACGCCCATTAAAAACAAAATGCAGCGCCATTAAGGCTGAAAAGACGCAACCTCCGGCCTGCATCATGGCCGATTACTGTAGCCAGCGGCAGGCGATTGGGCCAAACTATTGGTAAACTTAAATGTAAGAACACACATCTGCAGGTCTTCAGCAAATTTAAGAAAACATTTTGTATGCTGGCGAACTTTTAATGCACTCTTGTTTATATTAAGCAAGAAAATTATTGTATAGCTTAAGCAGCCTTTAGTTATCTTTAGTTAAATATGTTTTAATGTAAGTATTTTGGTCATATGGTAGCCTTTTATTTATTTTGCATCTTGAAATAATCCTTCGCCTCGATATACCCTTCATGCATACGAAAGCATACTGTAAATATAAAATATTTATTGCCAGATTGCACACGCTGTCGGCATGTCCTTCGGGCAGCAACAGCTACAACAGCAGAGCAGAATGGTGCCAGCTGCCTGCTGATATGTATGCAATGTCCTTTCAGACTTATCCTTTCCTTTGACTGCACCGACATCCGAAACAAGCATTTTACACGCATTTTACCATTTTTTTCTGGCCAATTCATAACGTTTAACAGATCGGAGCAGTCAGTAAAAATACTTTTACACTTTACAATTTAATAGAGACATTTTTGGTACAAATTAACAGCACATATAATCTACCCCTTCAACACCCTCCTGAGGCCCCATTCAAAAATCAAGTGTGCTGAAAATTAAATTTCGTACAGCGAAGCAGGACAGCAATTCAATGCAGTGCAAGGACATTCAGTGGCTTCCAACCAAAAACTAATGAAACTGCTGCTCCTACAGCTGCTGCTGCTGCTGCTATTGCTGCTCTCCAGCTGCCGACTGTCGCACATGCCTGCTGCTAGCACGACATTTCATTGGAGTGTCATGCTTCCCCCCTCCCCCCCTCCCCACACACACACATACACAGATATACAGTAACATTTGCCAACTTCTATGAGCATGCATGACTTTTTAAGGCAGCGCAATTAAAGTCAATTGGCATTTTACCAAAATGTGCTCGACATGGCGTATACGTAATGTCATTTAGGTGCCTATGTGTGGTGTCAACAACATTAGCTTACGATGAATATAGTTATTAGCACGTCTCTTCTGGTAACACAAATAGTTTCATAATTTATTAGCAACACCCAAACACTGAATTCGACATTATGCATACGCCGCACTTGCTACGCATAAATTAATTCATTTTCAAGGCAAAACTTTATAGTTATTTAGGTGTCTTCTTCCTTTACTCCCGTACCAATTTTATGGTTTCTTTAGGTGTATTGCTTGCCAATTTGAAATATCAACAACAACGTCAAGCAATGAACGGAAATTTCTTTATTTCGTTTCGCTCTGCTGGAAGTTTTACAGCCCAACTAGGTGCTACCAGCTGATGTTTGTTTTATGGACCTTTTGGGTCCTTATCTCATTCCAGTTTATTTTATAATGTACTCATAAAAGTTATGCGCTGACTTAAACCAGAAAGCCATTTGCACATTTTACACACACAAACTTTGATTTGGCATTTTGACTGATTACCTCTCATTATACAGCTCTTGACATTAACGAGCATATTTTGGACAGCACATAAGCTTAGCTAGATTGACTTAGCATTCACAAATTTGATTCGAAAGACGATTTTTCAGCAATTGTATTAAGTCTATATATAAATTGAGTACACTAAAATGGGTAGTTCTATGCAAAGTATTTATTGACGTTTGAAATTAATTAGAACTTTAAGTTTACGTCCTGATAGTTGCCGTTTGACTTGACTTTATGATTTGTATCTAATAATAGACATTATTTACTTAGTTTTATTAACCAAATTCTCTTCTCAACTAGCGGTTAAATATCAGCTTTTAGCTACTTTACACGCCGTTGACTTAATTTGGTGCAAGTTAGTTCCATTTGGCCATTGCATAAATGCATCTTAATGCCCCCCATTTGACAGGGCGGTAGCTGGGGTACGTTAAACAGATTTGCACCTTGCATATAAAGCCAAATTTACAAGCTGTAACGAAAATTGCAACGCAAATATGCAAATAACTATGAAGCTGCCCAAGCAACAGCAGCAGCAGAAGGTAAAAGGAAAAAGCGACCCTCGCTTAAATTTTGGGCAACTTGAACAAAAAAGTTGATACTTGGTTTGCCAGGAAATCGTTTGGCAAGCGGAATATTCAGTTGAAAATGAAGTTGTTATGACTCTGTGTGTGTGCGTGCGTTTGTGTGTATGGGCAATGTACAAACGTGTTGGGCATATCGGCCAAGATAAGCATGCAACAGCAAACAAAGCTGAATTCAGCTGCTTTCTTGTTGCACCTCTGCAGCTCCAGCTGCCATTTGCAACACTGTTCACAGTGCTGAGTGGGAGTAAGAATGCAAGTGGGAGTGCGAGTACTCAGGCTGTTTACGTGCTTATCGAGCATTCGATGGCAAAATTATAACCGTACCATGGCATGGGTAAGCTGCTTAGAATGCACTGCCAGCCGGCCAGCGTGCCGTATGCGTGCTGTCGTTTTAGAGATGTTCAAATGTTTTTGCAGCATATTAAATCGCCAGTATGGCATTATTGTTTCTCTATCTAGTTACACACGGAACACAAGGTTAGGCGCGCAGCAAATTGTAGCAAAAGCAGCGATTTATACCGCCGCAAGTTATAGGCAGCTGCTGCCGTCTCGCAGTCCGGGTAGATAGAAAATGCGTGGATATGAG